AGGGGCCGAGAGCCCATGGTCTACAGGTAGAGGTGTGGGCTGTGCTGAGGAGAACTGAAGGCCAAACCTCTGAAGGACCTGACGCACCAAGTGTGACTGAGTCAGAGTGATGGTGCGTGCTGCTCTGTCCCTAGAGATCTGCAGGCCAAGATAGCGACGCAGCTCCCCTACGTTAGTGCAGATGTGTCTCTTCACCAGCTCGGCCTTCACCGAGGCCAGTGCGTCCTTGTCAGCAGTAGCGAAGACCAGGTCGTCTACGTAAACGAGGATGTAGAACGGAGGCTGGCCGGAATGAATGAAAAGCGAAGGGTCAGCAGAGGACGGCAAGAACTGCAGGTCTGCTAGCGTGACACGCAGCGTGTCGTGCCACTCGCGGGGAGCCTGACGCAGGCCGTAGACCGGGCGCCTGAGAAGCCACTGGGTCCCAGGAGGGAAGGCACCAGTGAAGCCCTGTGGTCGATGCAGGTAGACCTGCTCGTATAGGCTGCCCTGAAGAAAGGCAGTAGAAAAGTCAAGTGAGTGAAGCTCGTAGTTGCGCTGTGCTGCTACGTGTAGCAGCGCCCGAAGAGTAGTCATCTTCGGGGTCGGGGCGAAGGTCTGGAAGAAGTCCACCCCCTCACGCTGGCTGAAGCCTCTAGCCACGTAGCGCGCCTTGAAGACAGGCGGCTCTACAGGGTGGCGCTTCACCTTGAAGAGCCATCGACCATCGACTACGTTCACCCCAGGCGGGGGAACTGCGTCGACGTAAGTGCCGGTGGATCTCCAAGATGTCATCTCCTGCTCCATGGCAGTTATCCACTGAGAGGCCCAAGGTCCCGAGGTGGCCTCAGCATAAGTGCGAGGGGTCGGGATGTCGAAGGCGTCTGGGTCACCTTCAGGGACTAGGAGCATGGAGCAGAGATGGGGAGCGGCCTCAGAAAGGAAAGCAAGCTCGTACTGCTGGTCCTCTAGAACGTTACTGCCAAGGGCAGGTGCACCCTTGACGGACGGAGGACGGGCAGAGTCAGAGACCAGAGCGGTAGCGTAGTCAAGGCGGCGGGTAGAGGCGAAGTCAGCGACAGCAGCGACAAGCGCGTCAAGGCAGGAGACAGGAACAGACGGGTCTGTAACAAGAGAAGCAAGAACCCGAGGGACAAGGGGACGAGCGTCACGGAAGTAGTTAGATAGCGGAGGAGGGGCAACAACAAGCGACGAGGGAGGAGGCGACGGGAGGAGGGGAGGACGAGACGAGTGGGAACGGAGCAACATAGGGTGGGAGCGCAGGATAGGAGAGACGGGGCGAGCACGTGAGGGACGGTGAGACCAAACGTGGGATGGAGGGGTAGGGTCAGGAGACAACGGAGGGGACACAAGAGGGGAACGAGGAGGAAGACGTGCCGGAGACGAGTCTGGCGGCGGGAGCACAGGGCCGTAGAGGGTGAGGAGGTGGCGGGGGAGACACCGGCGAGCGGTCAGGGGAGGGAAGGCCAAGCAGGTGAAGAGCGGAGACCGGCTGCGACGGCTGCAACGACGGCTGGTGCCCGACCCCCGGATCGGCAGAGGCACGACGACCGCCGGGAGAACACTCAACGGCAGCACCCCTAGAACCAACACCCCTAGAGCGAGAACTCCCTCCAGTGCCAGCGGCACCCCCAGGCCCGCCGGGATAGACGTCGCCAGGAGCCGCAGGACGAGCACCCTCCTCGACGCCAGCACCCCCAAAGGCCAAGAGCGGCAGAATTGGCGGCGGCGGCAGCGATAGCGGCTGCGACGGCGGCGGCGGCGGTGGCAACGGCTGCGACTGCGACAGCGGCGGCGGCGACTGCAACTGCGGAGGTGAAGACATCGGGGAAGGGGGACGCGACAAGGGCGGGCCCGGGGGACAACCAGAGTCAGAAGACTCCTCAACGGGGACAACCGACGGGAGGTGGTGGTGACGCCGAGGTCCTGAAGACGGCCGACACCAACCATGTTTCTGGAGAACGAGGGAGCGTCGAGGCCTGTAAGAGAGCCCGAGGGAACGGCTGGACAGAGAAGAGAAGTGGAACTGTGAGCGACGACTGGACCCGCACAGGGGTCAGCAAGACAGACAACAGCAGGCGCAGCAAGCGGCGTGAGCGTGGAGCGGTCGCGGAAGAAGCAGGCAGAAGCACCGGAGTCGAGAGTGAAGGACAGCGAGGCAGTAGCGGAGGCTGGGAACGAAGACGGTGCAGAAACTAGGCTAAGCAAACTAGGCAGTCCTACGCCTGATGCAGCAGGGGAGGCTAAGCTACACAAGGGTGCAACACCTAAACTAGAGTACACAGGGTAGTAAGATCCAGCAACACTAGAAGCGTCAGAGTACAAGGCATGCAAAACAGCACCTATCCGATCCATGTCTAACTCAAAGATCGGCACACCCTGGCGGAGCAGGCTGTGCCAGTCGGGGAGGTCCGGGACCGGGCCAAAGCGACGACGAAAGAGATCGTCGAGGCGGCGGAAACAGCGGGCGGTCGGGTGTGAGCGGCGGCACAGAGTGCTGCGGAGAGGCCCGGTCTGAAGCTGGTACTGGCAAGTCACACCAACAGAGCTGCCGGTAGACGCCAAGCTGCACGGGCCGCCACCGCGGCCACCACCTCCGAAGGTACCGGGCCAACCAGGCGGGAGACGAGCCCACGGCTGCGGCGGCTACTGCTGCGACGGCGGCTGCTGTTATGACGGCGGTTGCTGCTGTGACGGCGGCTGCTGCTGGGGCTGCTCCTACTGCAGAGGCGACTGCGTGTGCTTCTGCCCATCGGTGGTAGTCGCGTCAGGCGGACCACCGTCACCACCACCAGTACCACTACCACCAGCTCCACCATCACGACCGCCCTGGCGGCCACGGCCAGTGCGGCGCGGGCGTTGCTGCGGGTGTACTGCAGCAACCGTCTCGGTAAGAGGGGTCGGAGTGGCGACCGCAGCCGAAACATCAGTAAACGTGCACTGGGATGGGGCACAGCTGTGAAAGATAGAGACTGCCGGCGCACCGCTCGACTGAGCGAGAGTGCGCTGGCGAGTCTTGATCTCGGTGAGGGTGTCGACAAAGGCGGTCAGGGTGAGGTCACCAAGGTGCTGGCTAAGGAAGCGGTCGCGAGCACTAGCGAGGCGGTCCGGTAGGCGCATGGCGATAAAATAGAGCGTCATGCGGAAAGGGGGGGTGAGCGCAGTGAGCTGGGCAGCAGTGCTGGCAGTGCGATAGCGAGACTCTAGAGCACGCAAGTGAGTGGCAAAGTCTGAAACAGTAGGGAAGGCAGCAAGGTTTGGGAGCAGCATCGGGAAGAGCAAGCGGACGGCAGAAGCGGATGCAGGCGTGGAATAGCGAGCAACAACTGCGTCTAAATAAGCTTTGGTCGTATCAACTGTAGCGAAGCACGAGCGCTCAGACACGGGGAGGGCGTGACTGATGGCAACCTGAGCTACTGCATCGCGAGAGTTCCAGAACGCACGGGCAAGAGCAGCAGTAGAGAAAGCCTCTCTCTCAGCAGAGGTGGGGTCAGCAGGGAGGGGAGCAGGTGCAGGGGGGCGGGGGAGCAAGCCATCAGCATGGACCACCAAAGAGTGCCCATCCTGGCGCTGACCTGTAAGCTGACGGCGAAGATCGGAGAGCCAGGCGGCGAAGTCAACCTCGTGGCCCTGAGCGTCCAGTCGGAGCACGAAGTCAGCCATCGTGCAGGGTCAGCGGCACAGCTCCGCAGCGACACAGCGGGACAGAGACACAGCGGCACAGCTCCACAGCTCCGCAGGGGCACAGCGGCACGGGGACACGGCGGCAGCACTCTCGAGTGGGGCGGCTGCAGGGCGCTCCAGCGCGGGCGAGCAGAAGACACGGCACCCGAGGTGGCGCGACAGGCCGAGTAGGCACGAGGAGGGGCCGGGCAAGCAGTAGAAAGGGGGCCGGGCTGGCGCTGGGAGCCAGGCAGGCGTGACGGGGCCGGGCTGGCGCGAGAGGCTGGGCGGGCGCTAGGAGGGGCCGGGCGGGCGCACTAGGGCCGGACGGGCGCTAGGAGAGGCCGGGCGGCTCTAGGAGGAGGCCGGGCGGCGCTGCTGGGGCCGGGCTGGCGCTAGGAGGGGCCGGGCGGCGCTAGGAGGAGGCCGGGCGGGCGCTGCTGGGGTCGGGCTGGCGTTAGGAGGGGCTGGGCGGTGCTAGGAGGAGGCCGGGCGGGCGCTGCTGGGGCCGGGCTAGCGCTAGGAGGGGCCGGGCGGCGCTTGGAGGAGGCCGGGCGGGCGCGACAGGGGCCGGGCGGCCGTGAGAGGGCGCGGCAGGGGCAGGGCTGGCTAGCACTAGGAGGGGCCGGGCGTGGGCAGCGGGCCGGGCGGGCTGAGCGGGCCGAGCGGGCGCGACGGGGCCTAGCGGGCGCGACGGGGGCTAGCGGGCGCGACGGGGCCTAGCGGGCGCGACAGGGCCAGGCGGGCGCGATGGGGCCAGGCAGGCGTGACGGGCCAGGGGGGCGCGACAGGGCAAGGCGGGGGCGACGTGGCGGGCGGGCGCTTAAGGGCTGGGCAGGCGCTACGGGCAGAGCGGGCGCACGGGCCGGGCGGGCGCTAGGGGCCGGGCGGATGCTAGGGCTAGGTAGGGGGGGGGGGTAGGCTAGGGCGCGGGCGGAAGAGGGCGGGTGGACCTAACCTACTCATGATACCATGTTAGAATGCAAGAATAAATTACTAGGTGGAGATTGCAGCACATATAGCAGTTGGGGTTGTACTCACTAGGAACACACAACTACACTAGCCTATAACTTCTACATGCAACACATGTATAAGTTGACATCGCTGTCCTGCGCGGCTGTTTTCCCTCCTACCCGGGGATAATGAGGAACAGTGACCCTGAACCCCCTCGCTACGGGGCTTGGTCCCTTATGAAAAATCCCACACAACCCCCCTTTCAAGTTGGGCCCGCCTTCACTATTCTCCATTCTCGCTTTAATCTGGAAACGGCAACTCCTATTATGAAGACATTTTATGTATGAAGTTTTGCATAACTGTTTCGTTTGTGCAAGTACATGTTAAAGTGTTCCAATTTCTTGTAAATCATCCTGAAGCCACAATTTCGGTTTTGCAAATCAGACAATCAGACAAATTAAGTCTGATAAAGGAGTTGTCGGACAACTCCTAGAATGAGCACTATAACCAAGCACAACTCTGGTGTAGTCCAAACCAAATGCATGCTATCTATCCTCAGCCAGACCGTCACTCTTCCTTCGCGGTTCAGTCGTCATTTTCGTGGGGAAATCCGCGTTTCTTGCAATGATCTTCAACGGGTGTGCCTCGGTGTTGAACACCCATTGGTTGAGAGGCAACACGTCATCAGGGGAGAACATGAGATAGAGATACTTGAGTGTTTCCGCTAGAAAGAAACTTTGTTGCAAGTCGTCCTGCTGTGGTGGGTCCTGAGAGGCCTGGTTAAAAAGGGAAAACAGGAAAGTGGATGGAAAAACGTGAGACAGGCAATATACATACACAATCCGAGCTCACAACATGCATAGCAAAAGTGATATACAAGGCAGGTAGGTATCACAACACAAGACACATTCGCAGCACCCTTCTAGCATCAGTGCACACATAATCCCAGATTGTATACTCACATACAACAGCCCTGCATATACGTGCTGTTGGAACACGTGCAACACAGCCCAGCCCCACTCTCTGTATAAAGCATCAAATGTGGCACCCACAGTCCCATTCGTTATACTCACATCCAGCAGCCCCACATAGCCGTTTTCCACACGGCAGTGCTTCTGGAAGGCTTGGAAGACAGCCCACCCCCACTCCCTGTAGATGGGGTCATGCGTGGCCCGCCAGAGGTACATCCACGACTCCACTGCCTCTGGCCTCAGGATGTTGTACATGCGGCCCTGCATGCGCATGCCCTGTGGAGAGGCGAATAGGGAACACGTGAATGGAGAAACAACCAAGGTGAGATCGGAACAAGTGTGTTGCGCCAGGGGTACATCCACGACTCCACCGCCTCTGGTCTCAGGATGGTGTACATGCACCCCTCCACGCGCATGCCCTGTGGAGATACAGAGTACGACATGTGCGTAACGAGGGAACATGCGACTAGTAAGAGCATCCGTGTGATGATGTACGCGCCTCTTGCGACAAAGTCTACAGTTCCTGTCTCGCTACGGCTAGACAACGTGGGATGCGCCCAAAGTTTCCCTTCCGTTAACCTACCGGCAGGCACTTCTTGATGGAACTCGTGGACGACGACAGGCGAGCAACGATCCGCATCAAGACTCTTTCGTGATCAAGACTCTTTCGTGGAGATGACTCTTTCGTGGAGATGACTCTTTCAAGACTCTTTCGTGATCCGCATCATGCGGGTCATCATCTCCACGAAAGACTCTTCCACACACATGGATCGACAGGAAGCAGTACAAAATTGGTCGACGGTGCGGTTGGAGGGACTTCTTGGAATAAAACTCATAATTGTTCCGCTCTATAGCAGGTACGGCGGCTCTCTAAAGCTACTTGACCAAACCAGGAGTTGCACTCACCCGTTCTGCCTTTGCTCTATCCCAAGGGTGCAGTAGATCCTCCGGCCGTCAACCATGCAGAGCTGGGTGCCCACGCGTTCACGTGACTATTAGGCTCTCCGAAATTCGTATGCGTCGATGCAGCGCTATGTCTAATGTGCACTATCTAACCTCCAGGTGGCTGAAGAAGAAACTTCTCGTCGACAGCGGAGAAGCGCTCGCTGACCCCACAGTGACGACACTCGACGAAGTGGATATTGTGAAGAGGTGTTTGGCGCTTATTGAGAAGCCGACCGATCGGCTGAACAGTTTAATCGCAACTTCGAGCGGTATCATCGTTGTCCGATTGTGTTTTTTGTACACAGCGGATGGGTGGTCAACTGACTATGCATGTGAGCCGACTCAAAAGAGAGGGCATGCAGTTAGTGTGCCTGGGCGTGATCAATCTGTCAGTCTGAGCATCAGTCTGCTGGTAAGTATGAGCATCAGTCTGCTGGTTAGTATGAGCATCAGTCTGCTGGTTAGTATGAGCATCAGTCTGCTGGTTAGTATGAGCATCAGTCTGCTGGTTAGTATGAGCATCAGTCTGCTGGTTAGTATGAGCATCAGTCTGCTGGTTAGTATGAGCATCAGTCTGCTGGTTAGTATGAGCATCAGTCTGCTGGTTAGTATGAGCATCAGTCTGCTGGTTAGTATGAGCATCAGTCTGCTGGTTAGTATGAGCATCAGTCTGCTGGTTAGTATGAGCATCAGTCTGCTGGTTAGTATGAGCATCAGTCTGCTGGTTAGTATGAGCATCAGTCTGCTGGTTAGTATGAGCATCAGTCTGCTGGTTAGTATGAGCATCAGTCTGCTGGTTAGTATGAGCATCAGTCTGCTGGTTAGTATGAGCATCAGTCTGCTGGTTAGTATGAGCATCAGTCTGCTGGTTAGTATGAGCATCAGTCTGCTGGTTAGTATGAGCATCAGTCTGCTGGTTAGTATGAGCATCAGTCTGCTGGTTAGTATGAGCATCAGTCTGCTGGTTAGTATGAGCATCAGTCTGCTGGTTAGTATGAGCATCAGTCTGCTGGTTAGTATGATCATTTGTTAGTATGAGCATCAGTCTGCTGGTTAGTATGAGCATCAGTCTGCTGGTTAGTATGAGCATCAGTCTGCTGGTTAGTATGAGCATCAGTCTGCTGGTTAGTATGAGCATCAGTCTGCTGGTTAGTATGAGCATCAGTCTGCTGGTTAGTATGAGCATCAGTCTGCTGGTTAGTATGAGCATCAGTCTGCTGGTTAGTATGAGCATCAGTCTGCTGGTTAGTATGAGCATCAGTCTGCTGGTTAGTATGAGCATCAGTCTGCTGTACATGCTGCCCTTCATGCGCATGCCCTGAGACCATGTGCTGTGACTATACAAAGTTAGGGAGTTCGAATCGTGAAAGTACACTCTACAATCACAAACCACAGTCACACAATACAATCACATGCCTACAGTCACACGACACAATCACATGCCAAGAGTCACACGATACAATCACATGCCAACAGTCACACTCGCCTTGTCACCAAAGGTGTAGTCCTCCCCACTCAATCCCGTGGCCGATAGGTTGTAGAAGAGGTAGCAGGTGCGGCCCAGCTGATGGGCGGACGGGGGGACAGGGATGGGAGGGGGAGTGGGGAGCGGAGGGTGAGGCATGGGAATGCATGTATCTGATGTGTTGTAGACGAGAGATAGCAGGTGCAGCCCAGCTGATGGGCGCACGGGGGGACAGGGCAGAGGAACGAGGAGGGGGGTAGGGAGGGGTCCCACGCGTATCACACATTGCAGAAGGGATGACAGGGGGGGAATGGGGGGGGAAGAGGGGGGGGGAAGAGGGGGGGGAAGAGGGGGGGGAAGAGGGGGGGGAAGAGGGGGGGGGATGTTGGGGGTAAAGGGAGGGGAGTGCAGCCCAGCTGGTGGGTGGAAGGGGAAAAGGGACGAAGAGGGGGGGATTGGGGGGGAATGAGGCTGAAATATTTAAAGATGCAGCTTTTACGATGTAGCACACACAGCATGCCTTGTAGAGGATATAGCACACGCGGTCCCGCTATTAGGCGGAAGGGGAGAAATGGTGGAGGGAGGGGGGAGCAGGGGGTGAGGTGTGGTAGCACACACAGCACGTAGGGATTAAGAGTGGAGGGGGAAGCAGGGGGAAGTGGGAAGCAGGGGGAAGGGGGAAGCAGGGGGAAGGGGGATGCAGGGGGGAGGGGGAAGCAGGGGGAAGGGGAAAGCAGGGGGAGGGGGGAAAAAGGGGGGAGGGGGAAACAGGGGGAAGGGGGAAGCCAGGGGAAGGGGGAAGCAGGGGGGAGAGTGGTGGCAGGTTGAGAGAGGGGATTAGAGAGCAGTCATTCCTGCCAGCAGTAGCAACAGCAGTAGAAGCTCAAGCCGGCGCATGCATGCATGATCAAAGACTGTCAGACATGCATGCATGCATGTGCTCGCACACGTGCAGACAGTCAGTCCGTCACTCACGAAGTTTCTCACTTCCACTCACCTTTCCCAGCATCATGTATTCCTGTGTGCGTTTCTTCTCCCTTTATCCACTGACTGCGCCTCTTTCTCACGCCCCCTTTCTCACCGACTCACCTCCTTAGCCAGCCGCATGTACTCCTCAGTGTCTTCTCTCCCCTTCTCCACCGCCTGCGCCCCCAGCACCAGCATGCCTGCCACGAAGCACGTCAAGTGCTCCATCTCGCCCCTGTCTCACACACACACTCACTCACTCACCCACCTCCTTGGCCAGTGCCATGTATTCCTCTGTGTGCTGGCTTCCCGTCTCCACTGTCTGCGCCCCAAGCACCAGCATGCCTGCAACGAAGCACGTCAGGTGCTCCATCTTGCGAACGATGTTCCCCCGCTGGCTCTCACCCACGTATGCCACCCTGCCACCACTGCTGCTGTTGCTGCTGCTGCTGCTGCTGCTGCTGCTGCTGCTGCTGCTGCTGCTGCTGGGTGTCTTGCTGCTTCCTGTGCTGCTGCTACTCTCGGTGGTGCTGTCAGCGGTGCTGCTGCTGGTGCTGCTGGTGTTGGTTGCGGTGCTAGAGGCGGTGGCGGTGCTGTTGGGAGCCGGGGCGTGTTGAACGAGCTTTGTCATCATACCACTCATCGCCTTCTCCCACATTCCTCTGCAGGTGGAGAGTTGTGGAGAATGGTGGGGATGGGAGTGGTGGAGAGTGGTGGGGAGCAGTGAAGTGGAGGGAAGGGATGCCGCTTTAAGTCACATCATCATTCCTCTCATGGCCTTCTCCCACATACCTCTAGGGGCGGCGCGGAGTGGTGGAGAGTAGTGGGGAGAGTAGTAGCGGGAAGTGGTGGTGTGGAGGGAAGGAGAGGGACGATGGAGGAGCGGGGCGGAGTAGGATAGCTTTGCCAATCCGGGGTCAGCTGTGTCAAGGGCATGAGGGACGGGCGTGAGGGTCGGGCGTGAGGGCCGGGCGTGAGGGCCGGGCGTGCGTGAGGGTCGCGCGTGAGGGCCGCGCGTGAGGGCCGCGCGTGAGGGCCGCGCGTGCGTGAGGGCCGCGCGTGAGGGCCGGGCGTGAGGGCTTTGCCATCCTACTTTCAACCTTGACACGAAAAAGAAAGGCTGAACCCTCACCTGGTGAACCCTGAACCCTCACCTGGTGAACCCTGAACCCTCACCTGGTGAACCCTCCCCTGGTGAACCCTCACCTGCATCTTTGAACATAGGGCGTGCCTCAGCCCTGCACCCACACTTTCGGGCGACTCTTGAGGCACCTACAGATTGTATCATGTCTTGAGGTGCGTTATAACTGTTGAACACTCCCCCAGTGAACCCTCCCCTGGTGAACCCTCCGCCCTCCCCTGGTGAACCCTCCCCTGGTAAACCATCCGCCCTCCCCTGGTGAACCCTTCTCTGGTGAACCCTCCCCTGGTGAACCCTCCCCTGGTGAACCCTCCCCTGGTGAACCCTCTCCCTCACCTGTATCTCTGAACGTAGGGCGTGCCTCCACCCTGCACCCACACCTTCAGGAGATACTCATAGAAGCTGCTTGGGGGTAAGGGGGAAGGGGGGGGGAGAGGAGGGGGAGAGGCGGAACTGGAGAGAGACGGGAGGAGTGCAGATAAGGTATAGTGCGAGCCTTATATTACAAATCACCACATTCCACCACTCATCAGTGCATCTCACCTCACCGCATCTCACCACACATCAGTGCACCTCACCTCACCGCATCTCACCACACATCAGTGCACCTCACCTCACCGCAACTCACCACACATCAGTGCCCCTCACCTCACCGCATCTCACCACACATCAGTGCACCTCACCTCACCGCATCTCACCACACATCACCTTGCCGCACCGCATCTCATCCATCCCCCCATGATTTGGCTGGAGGTGCGGTTACCACTCACCCATGTGCTTCACTGCATCACACCCCTCTCCACCGCACAGCTCACCGCACCTCACACATCCCCCATTGATCCAAACACGACGTGGCATAGTAAATCAGGTTTGAGATGTCTCATAACACGTCCTGGCAGGAGGCGGGCTCGCCAGTGGTGCTGCTGATGGCGGATCAACATTCGCAGCAGACACAAGTATCTCACCACCATGCATAACCACACCTCACCACAGGTCACCGCACCCGACCTTCGACCTACTCTCGCCGCATTTCACCGTATCTAACCTATCCCACTTGGATCCGAATGTGACGTGATGGTGACGGGAGGTGGGCTTGCCAGTAGGGGTGCTGACAAACATCTCACCACCGCCCTTGTCCACACACTTTGTGTCACCGTATCCAGTCGCATCCCACCTGACACCTGACACCGCACAAAACCGCACCTCACCTGTCCCCCATGGATCCGAACGTGATGTGGCGCGAGGTCGGCTTGCCGGTGGTTGTGCTGATGAACATCGGCAGCAGACCGTCGGATGGAAAGACCTTCTCGATCTGACGGATGACGTGCTCCGACTGCCCATGCAGCAGGACATGCAGCATAGGAGAGGGATGGGAGCAACGGGAGGAGCAGAAGGTACAAGGCCGTCAGTCAGATTCATGCCCATTGATGCGAGAGGTGGCAGTCAGTCAGGCTCATGTCGATTGAACTGGCAGACAGATGCAGGTGGGAGGGATGGGAGGTGAGGAGGAGAGGCAAGGTGAGGGGGAGGCAAGGTGAGGCTGCTTTTGAGTCGACTCAGAAGTAGGAGGCAAGGTGAGGAGGAGAGGCAACGTGAGAGAGAGGGACGGGTGCTGTGAGAGCAACGAGTGTTGGCATGCCGAGCAAAAGGAGCCCAGACAGACTCACCGTGTTGGCGTATTTGGGGTCTCCGGTGCGCTGCGAGAGCGCCACCATCTCCAGCTGCGTGGAGCCCAGGTCTGCCAGCACAGAGGAGCCCTGGGAGGGTTGAGGGGGCATGGGGAGAGAGAGGGGCTTGGGCCATGACGACATGGGGGAGGGATGGGGCACTGAGAGAGCGCCCCCATCTCGAGCTGCGTGGAGCCTAAGTACACCAGTACAGAGGAACCCTGCGAGGGTTGAGGGGGCATGGGGAGAGAGGAGGGCATGGGGAGAGAGGAGGGCATGGGGAGAGAGGGGGGGGAATGGGGAGAGAGGGGGAGGCATGGGGAGAGAGGGGGGGGAATGGGGAGAGAGGGGGAGGCATGGGGAGAGAGGGGGGGGAATGGGGAGAGAGGGGGAGGCATGGGGAGAGAGGGGGGGGCATGGGCCATGGGGCACTGAGCGAGAGCCACCATGTGGAGCTGCGTGGAACCGCCCAAGTCTGCCAGTACAGATGACCCCTTGTGAGGGAGGGAACAAGCACGAATGTAGGGAAGAGGAATTGGGGGGGGTTCGGGGGGGTGCAGTGAGAGAGAGGTGGGGAATGCCTGTGGAGTGGCGAAAGGCTGGCAGCAGCTTGCACATATCTCACGCCCCTACCCTTTTGCTTTTGAGTAAACTCAAAAGCAGACCCATTACATGCGGCTTTTGAGTTGACTCAAATGCCTGGGTGGGGGGGAAGGGAAATGCTGGTGGGTCGGTGGCGGAGGCAGGCAGCAGCTTGTATACATCTCACGCCCCTAACCTTTTGAACCCTACCCTTAGACCACCGAAACGAGCAAATGACTCACCCCCCCCCCCCCCGTCCAACCAGGCGAGTGCCCCCTGCCGCTAGCAAGGTTCACATAGATGTGGGGAAAGGAGGCCACCGTCAGACCCCTACCCTTAGACCCCTACCCTTAGACCCCTACCCTTAGACCCCTACCCTTAGACCCCTACCCTTAGACCCCTACCCTTAGACCCCTACCCTTAGACCCCTACCCTTAGACCCCTACCCTTAGACCCCTACCCTTAGACCCCTACCCTTAGACCCCTACCCTTAGACCCCTACCCTTAGACCCCTACCCTTAGACCCTACCTTAGACCCTACCCTTAGACCCCTACCCTTAGACCCCTACCCTTAGACCCCTACCCTTAGACCCCTACCCTTAGACCCCCTACCCTACCCTTAGACCCCTACCCTTAGACCCCTACCCTTAGACCCCTACCCTTAGACCCCTACCCTTAGACCCCTACCCTTAGACCCCTACCCTTAGACCCCTACCCTTAGACCCCTACCCTTAGACCCCTACCCTTAGACCCCTACCCTTAGACCCCTACCCTTAGACCCCTACCCTTAGACCCCTACCCTTAGACCCCTACCCTTAGACCCCTACCCTTAGACCCCTACCCTTAGACCCCTACCCTTAGACCCCTACCCTTAGACCCCTACCCTTAGACCCCTACCCTTAGACCCCTACCCTTAGACCCCTACCCTTAGACCCCTACCCTTAGACCCCTACCCTTAGACCCCTACCCTTAGACCCCTACCCTTAGACCCCTACCCTTAGACCCCTACCCTTAGACCCCTACCCTTAGACCCCTACCCTTAGACCCCTACCCTTAGACCCCTACCCTTAGACCCCTACCCTTAGACCCCTACCCTTAGACCCCTACCCTTAGACCCCTACCCTTAGACCCCTACCCTTAGACCCCTACCCTTAGACCCCTACCCTTAGACCCCTACCCTTAGACCCCTACCCTTAGACCCCTACCCTTAGACCCCTACCCTTAGACCCCTACCCTTAGACCCCTACCCTTAGACCCCTACCCTTAGACCCCTACCCTTAGACCCCTACCCTTAGACCCCTACCCTTAGACCCCTACCCTTAGACCCCTACCCTTAGACCCCTACCCTTAGACCCCTACCCTTAGACCCCTACCCTTAGACCCCTACCCTTAGACCCCTACCCTTAGACCCCTACCATGCCCCTAAAACGAACTGTGACTCACCCCCGTCCAACCAGGCGAGTGCCCCCTGCCGCTAGCGAGGTTCACATAGACGTGAGGAATGCCCGTGGGGGTGGCAAAGGCCGGCAGCAGCTTGTCAGCGATCTCCCTCGCTCTCGTGAGGAACATCGGGTCGCCTGAAAGATCGTAGGCGCTCAGCAGCCCGCCAAGGATGCTGGGGGATGGGGGTTGGAGGATGGTAGGAGAGGGAGGCGTTTGTCGCTGACCTCCCTCACCCGTGTGAGGAATACAGGGTCACCCGGTAGGTCGTATGCACTCACTCCCTCACTCACTAGCCCGCTGAGGATGCTTGAGAAAAGGGGGGAATGGAGACAGGGGGGAGGGGGAGGAGGGGGGGAGGGGAGGGGGGGGAGGAGAAATTGGGAAGAGATGACTTTTGAGTCGACTCAGAAGAGATGTGAAAAATGTGGCACTGCTGCGCTGATGTCGCACTAGTAGCAGCTTGTTGAAAAACCATGGGGAAGCATAGGGATGTGAAAAAGAATACGGGAGAATGCTGTTGAGTGCAATCACCAGCAGACAGGGTATTGGGGGTGAGGTGAGGGGGACGAGACGAGGCTCCATGAAGAGAGGGCATTCTGGGAGCCTCAGAGCAGCACACCAAGCCTCATGTAAACGAGTAATTTCTTTTGCTTCGAGCCTAAGGAGAGTCTGCTGCCCCTGAGAGCTATGTCTCTCAGAGCCTAAGTAGAGTCTCAGGAGCTATGTCTTAAGACTTCTTGGTGAGGAGTGGGACGAGGCTCCTTGAGTAATGAGTCGATTTTTCTTGAGGAGGGGACGAGGCTAAAAAATCGACTCATTACACTCGGATTACTCTTGGTGAGGAGTGGGACGAGGCTCCTTCAAGAGAGGGCATTCTGGGAGCCTCAGAGCAACACGCCACACCTGTGAAAAGCAGATTGCCTCCAATATCTGAGATTGAATTGGGCACAGGGCTACACCCTCACAACATACATACATGCCCCGTGATGGGTGCAGCACGTTCCACACGCGTACCATATGGTGGTTTTTGAGCCGACTCAAAAGACATCCATGCCCGGTGATGGGCGCAGCACGTGCCAGTGCCACATGCGTACTGTATGGCTGGAGCTTACACATGCCACATGTGTACTGTATGGCTGGAGCTTACACGTGCCACTGCCACGCGCGTACCGTATGGTGGTCTCAAAGACGTTGGCATCGTAGTCATGCTCGAAGGAGAGCTTCTCCTCCACCCAGCTGTGAGTGGGGAGGGGGGGGAGAGAGGCAAAGGGGGCACAAAGGGGGAGGAGGAGGAGGACAGCGAGACGTCGGCATGGGTTTCATGCTCAAAGGGGAGCTTCTCCTGCACCCAGCTGGAAAGATGGGAGAGGTGGAGCGCGAGTGGGAGGGAGAGAGAACGATTAGGAGCGGAAGGAAGAAGAGCCAAGAAGCAATGAGCGAACAGACTAAGAGGTTCTATCCATGGGCATGCCATAACGTGCTGTATTTTGACATGCCATAACATGCTGTATTTTGCCATGCCATGCCATGCCATGCCATGCGATGCCATGTTAGCCTCATCAAACTGCTCCATGAGCCCCAAGATGACAGCAAGTCAACCATGATCAAGGCCACAGTAGCATACGCTGCTGTGCAGCATTTCTGTGCCTTTACGCTTACCTCTTAGCCTCGTCAAACTCCCTCATGTGTCCAATGATGTACAGCGAGTCAAGCGAGTCAACCATGGTCAACCTCACAGTACTGTACCATGGGGCATATCATGGCGCACACCATGACTCCCTCCCATCTCTTAGCCTCATCGAACTCCTTCATGAGCCCCATGATGTAGAGCGAGTTAACCATGGTCAACCACACAATACCATACTGTACCATACTACACCATATTATACCGCACCCCACCACATCTCCTACCTCTTGGCCTCGTCAAACTCCGTCATGAGCCCCATGATGTAGAGTGAGTCAAGCGAGTCAACAATGGTCAAGCCCAGCCCGCCAAAGTGGTTCACGCCAGTCTTGGTGCGCGGCTGGGGGATGGGGTTGGGAATGGTTGGGGGGAGGGCAGGAGAGAGAAATGGGAGAGGCGTGGAGGGAGTGAAGGGTGAAATGCATGCATGCCTGTCTTGGTGTGCGGCTGGGGGCTGGGGTTGGGTTGGGATGGGCAGGGAAGGGATGGTAGGGACGTTTGAGCTGACTCAGAAGTCACTTCGTTTGTCTAGCGAGTAACCGATGGTCAATCTGGGGGCTGTTGGGGTTGGGGTTGGGGTTGGGGTTGGGGTTGGGGTTGGGGTTGGGGTTGGGGTTGGAGTTGGGGTTGGGGTTGGGGCTAGGATTGGTGGGTGAGTGGTTGGTTGGGTGGAGTTCGTGCCTAATTCACGAATTACTTCCATTCATGCAGTAGATCACTACGCCATCACGCCATCATGTCGCCACACAAACCTGAAATTCATCATCCAGCCGCCATGCGAGCTGCCCGTGCCCCTTCCATGCATGCACACCAATGCACCATGACATGCCATCATGCCATCACATATGCATATAAACATCATGTCGCCACCCATATACTAACCTGCAGCTCGTCCAGCCCCCATGCGTACTGCCGGTACCCCTTCCATGCATGCATCATCGCCTCTCGTATCGCCTCCCTCTTCTCCTCCACCCCTTCATCCTCCCCCCCTCCCCCATCCGCTCCCCCATCCCCTCCCCCCCCTCTCTCCTCCTCCCTCACCACTCTCCCTCTCCTATCCCGGCCCTCCTCCCCCTCCCCTTCCCCAGCCACATCACCAGCCACTCCCCCTCCTCCTCTTAATCTACCTCCCCCCACCCCCCCTCTCCTCCTCCTCCTCTTCCTTCTCGCCCGTCCCTTCCGTCTCCTCCTCCCGTCTCTTCCCCTCCCCTCCACCCCTCCTCTTCCCCCTCCTCTTTTCCCTCCTCTTCTCCCTCCGCCTCTCCCTCGTTCCCCAACGCCCGCTCTCCCTCTCGTCCTCAAGTTGACAGGCACAACACGGAAAGACTCTTCCTCCTCTCCTGCCTCCTCCCCCTCCTTGGACTTCCCATGGGCTCCCATGCGTGTCTTTTCCAGCTGGCGCGGGGGAAAAAAAGGGCGGCGGGGTAAAGTGGGGGAGGGTGGTGGTCCAAACAGGGGAATGGGGGTGACGAAAACGTTTGACGAAAACGGCATAAAGAAACAGGAATGCGCTGCAGCAGCAGCAGGAGTAAAGTGGGGGAGGGTGATGGTGCAAACCAGTTACTCAAGCAACAGCAACAGCAATCAGTTACTAAAGTGGGGGAGGGCGAGGAAAACGTTTGAGGAAAACGTTTGAGGCGCCTCAAAAGTCGTCTCTTTATCCGAGGAAAACGGCATAAAGAAACAGGAATGCGCTGCAGCAGCAGCAGGAGCCTCACAACACGTTTCATACAACCGGGAATGCGCTGCATGGGGGTGAGTTAAACGGCAGATGAAACAGCTCGACCCTCTTTCAACCTCCGGTGTGCTCCCATGATCCCATGATCCCATGATCCCATGATCCCATGATCCCATGATCCCATGATCCCATCCCATCCCATCCCATCCCATCCCATCCCATCCCATGTGTCCGGTGTCCTTCTTTCCCTCCTTATGACGGCAAGCGGGAGGGAGCGAGTAAGGGCATTTCTGAGGGGCCTAAAAAACTTTTCTCAAGGGCTCGCCCCTCCTTCAACGTCCGATGTGCTGCTCCCATGCGTGCCCCTTCCCGCCGTTATGACGGGAAGCGGGAATGTGATAGGTTTTTGAGAATTGCAAAAGATCCCGTTGTTATGACGGCAAGCGGGAATGTGTGAGGGTTTTATCAGCGGGTATGACTTGAGAAGGCTCAATAACACACGTATGGGGAAAAAGGGGATCCTCAGGTAACCACGCATGGATGGAATTTGCTTTAATCGATCAGTGGACAAGGTAGCTGCTCTCGGTGCGCTTTATTCCTCATGTATTCCTCACGCGTCTTGCTTTTGAGTCGACTCAAAAGCCTTTTCAGTCGACTCAAAAGCCTTTTCAGTCGACTCAAAAGCAGACTCATTACACGCGGTTTTTACATGTGTTCGTCACGTGTCTTGAGTCTTGACAGAGGAAGTGTTAGGTTCCTGAGAATTCTAAAAAACCTAACACAGCCTTTCCCATGTGGTCCTCACGTGTCTTGACAGAGGAAGCGTGAGACTGCAACGAGGGGTGCGCAACATGTCAACAACGGGTATGGGAATGACTTTTGAGGCGCCTCAAAAGGCACAACATGTCAACAACGGGTATGGGAATGACACCAGCGCCAGTAGGAGCACTGATGAATGAAACCATCTCTCCACAACTCCTGCGCACCTTTTGTCAAGGGCAATGTAGGGAGCAACGATGAGGTCGGGCGGTCGGAGTAACTTTTGAGTCGACTCAAAAGTCAGTCAAGGACAGTGTAGGGAGCAACGATGAAGTCGGGCGGGGGGGGTTATTTGAATCTATTTAAATCTACACCTTCTCAACTTTCTAACAACTCTCAACCTATAACGACTCTCACCTCATAACGAACCTTACCTGACAATGGTAGTCTCACCATATGACGAGTCTCACCTTAAAGCGAGTCTCACCTCAGCCACCATGCTCTGCTTCTGGCTGTGCAGCGCGTGCACCTTCGCTGCTAGCGCCTGCCACGAGTGGGAGGGGGTGTGGGAGTGTTGGGGGGAGATGGGAGTAAGGATGGGACAGGGGGGAGGCGGGGAGTTGGGGGAAGGCGGGGGAAGAGGGGGGAAAGAGGGGGGGAAAGAGGGGGGGAAAGAGGGAGGGTAAGAGAGGGGGAAGAGGGGGGGAGAGGGGAGGGGGGGGAGGAGGGGAAGAGGGGGAAGCAGACTTGAATGGGGCGTTGTATTCGCACAGCCTTCGTCTATACTGTTTAGAGCGTGCGTCAAGTATGCAACTTGGTCGCATCAACTACGGGGCACGATTACGTCCAAATGATAAGAAACGGGTTGGGCCAGCCCGAACCTATCTCCAGCCCGAACCTAGCTCCAGCCCATGCATAGCTCCAAGTACAACCCAACTATCACACAAACCTAGTTTCTAATCTAGCCTAGCTCCAACCCGGACCTAGCTTCAACCCGAGCCTAACTGCATTCCGAACCATTTCGAGAACCGCACCTGCACTTGGCGCGCTTTGTGCTGCCGGCGCAGAAGGAGAAATACCCCGGCGATGAGGACAAACGAGAGGACGAAGAGGCGCTTTGGCCGACGGAGGTAGTACGCGGGGAGGAAGTACTTAATTAGAGACATCGCCGGAAACGACGCGCGGCGACGGCCGGCCATCGCGGCGCCCCTTCCACGATTGCGCCGCGATGCTAGCCGCGATTTCCGTCGCCAGTGACGGCGAAAACGGGAGCCGCGAAGGTTAATATGAGGCTAAGTCATGCACTTCCAGTTTTGAGGCGCCTCAAAACAAGTCATGCACTTCCGGGGTGGAGCAATGTCAGGCAGAACGTAGTGGGACGCCAGCATGATTGACGCGGCTTCAGACCATACCCGACCCGTTGAGTTCAGAGATCAGATAACAATCAAGTCAGCTTCGTAAATACGCGGACGGCTCGTAAGATTATGAATGAGTGAGCTCGGAGTTTCGCAGCAGCGACATACTAGTGGCCTCGCGGTATGGCAGTGCTGTTTTGGCGGGAAAATACGCTGTTCTCTCTCTAGCCTATGTAAGGGTGACAGACAGCTAGTGGGTGCTGCTGAGACAGTGTACAGTGAAGACCGCAACATAAAATTCCTCAAGATCGGCGAAGGTCACCTCGGTTCCCTCTTCGTGACGTGTAGAAAAACTAACCTTTATGCATTACAATGTCACACATACTCTATGCAACTCACAAAATAAAAAATATGTGCAAACCATTCTGTACAAAACAGCTACACCGGGTTGGGTACAACCAACACTGGACAAGTGGCATTGTGGATCAAATAGTCGCTCACACTCCCCAGCATCGCCCTGCGGTTTGCGGCAATAATTGCAATGTACGGTTCAGCCAATCAGAACAGAGAAACATGTGAGATAGGAAACTAAGATCAGGGGAGCTACCATGCCGGTAGATCTCGATGGTATGGGGTAAGGCCCGAATAGTCCAAGAGTTGGAAAAAGCAAGCAAGCCCACCTTGACATGAGCCCCAGCTTCCATGACCCCATCGCCAGCAGCTCAATCACCTGCCTCTCCACTGCACCACATGACTCCATGCTGGCATGACCCTCACATCCATCCATTCCAACATCATCCTCACATACATGCATTCCAGCATCATCCTCACATGCATGCATTCCAGCATCATCCTCACATGCATGCATTCCAGCATCATCCTCACATGCATGCATTCCAGCATCATCCTCACATGCATGCATTCCAGCATCATCCTCACATGCATGCATTCCAGCATCATCCTCACATGCATGCATTCCAGCATCATCCTCACATGCATGCATTCCAGCATCATCCTCACATGCATGCATTCCAGCATCATCCTCACATGCATGCATTCCAGCATCATCCTCACATGCATGCATTCCAGCATCATCCTCACATGCATGCATTCCAGCATCATCCTCACATGCATGCATTCCAGCATCATCCTCACATACATGCATTCCAGCATCATCCTCACATACATGCATTCCAGCATCATCCTCACGTACATGCATTCCAGCATCATCCTCACATGCATGCATTCCACCACCACCTTCACTTAAACCCACCTTGACATGGGCCCCAGCCCTCTTGACCCCACCACCAGCAGCTCAACCGCCTGCCGCTCCACCGCCTCACAGAGCTCCATGCGGGCATCGTCCGCCTTGCGCGACACAGCATGGCATGTCACCTGGTGGGATGGGCAGGGCGATGAAGAAACAGTAGCACAAAGGACAGGAAAATCGGTAGCAGCTCAACCGCCTGTCGCTCCACCGCATCACAGAGCTCCATGCGGGCATCGTCGGCGTTGCGCGACACGGCATGGCATGTCACCTTATCGGTGGGTGGAGTGGAGGAGCGACGTGCACATGAACACAGAATGGGGTTGCACCTACTCTGTCCTACTCTGCATTGCAAGGTTGAGGAGGACATGGAATGAAAGTGGAGCTCAATGACTGGTCTCTCCACCGCCTCACATGCGAGCATCGTCCACCTTTGTGCGAAACCGCGTGGCATGTCACTTGCATAGAAAACAGGAAACTGTATCCGGCAATTTTGAAGGAGAAAAATTGAAGGGGAAGAATTGAAGGGGAAGAATTGCAGGGGAAGAATTGCAGGGGAAGAATTGCAGGGGAAGAATTGCAGGGGAAGAATTGCAGGGGAAGAATTGAAAGGGAATAATTGAAGGGGAAGAATTGAAGGGGAAGAATTGCAGGGGAAGAATTGCAGGGGAAGAGTTGAAGGGGAACAATTGAAGGGGAAGAATTGCAGGGGAAGAATTGCAGGGGAAGAATTGCAGGGGAACAATTGAAGGGGAAGAATTGAAGGGGAAGAATTGAAGGGGAAGAATTGCAGGGGAAGAATTGCAGGGGAAGAGTTGAAGGGGAACAATTGAAGGGGAACAATTGCAGGGGAAGAATTGCAGGGGAAGAATTGCAGGGGAAGAATTGCAGGGGAAGAATCAGCAATAATGGCAAACTAGATCATGCAGTGTCGGGAATGGCTGTTATGGGCTCACGTTAAAGAGTCCCACATTTGTGACTCTCAAAACGTCCAAAAACCCACCCCCCCTCTCCCCATCCTACTCACCATCCTTCTCAACATCCTACTCGCCATCCTACTCTCCATCCTACTCTCCATCCTACTCTCCATCCTACTCACCATCCTACGCACCAGCCTACTCACCATCCTACGCACAATCATACTCACAATCCTACTCACCCTCCCTCTCACCACAACTCTCCACTCACCCCTGCGGCATGTGCCAGTGCTCTGAATTTTGGCAGCAGCCCTTCTTCCCTGGCCTCCATCCACCTCACACAAGAACCTTCCAGGTGCATCCATAACCCCCCTTCCCCCACCAAACCACTCATTCAACCCTTCCCTCTGCTTACTCATCCCTTCCCTCTATTCAAGCCATCCCTCCAATCACCCTACCTCCCCATCTCACCCCGGCAGCATGAGCCATTCCTCTGCATTTCGTAAGCAGCGCCTCTGCCCGTTCCTCCACCTCGTACTCCCACACTAGCGCCTGCCCGCTGCTGTTGCCCTGCGCTGCCTCGGACATCCACGCCGCTTCTGAGAAGGGTGGAGGATGAGGGGGGGCGAAGGGGTGAGTGTGCCATAAACCAATCATTGCATTCTCCTGCGCCTGCCCTGTTGCCCTTCCCTGCCTTGGACATCCACGCCGCTTCTGAGAAGGGGGGCGACGGGGTGGGGGGAGACGAATAGGGGGGGGGGGGGGGGGGGGGGGGGAAGGGGAAAGGGGGGTGCATGTGCGGAGAGGGGAGTTATGAATCACATCACATCACATCACATCACATGGGCCTATGCATGTATCTCCTAGGCCAGCCCAGAGCCATAACTCCACTTGACCGCTTCCCCTTGTTTCCCTGCTCTGTCTCGCTCGCACATCCGCGCCGTCTCTGAGAGCGAGTTGAAAATGGCATGAAAAGAGAGGCGAAGCGATTGGGGGGCCACCCAAGGGAGCGGGCTATAAGTGTACAAAATCTCTCACCCTGCCCTGTCTCGCATATCCATGCCGCCTCTGAGAAGCGACTGGGGGGCCACCCAAGGGAGCAGACTATAGGTGTCAAGAATCTCACACATGTGACTTGACCACTTGTCCTTCTGAAGAAAGCACAAGAGGAATTCATCTCAATGCAGAGCGCAAGAGACATTCACCCTAATCTGGAGCACCAGACGCATTCACCCCTAACAGATTAGAAGCGGCACCTACCCCAATGCCGTTAACACTGTGGGATGCTGCCATGGTTGTTGCCATCACCACCATCACCATCACCATCATCACCACCATCACCACCATCACCACCATCACCACCATCACCATCATCCCCATAACCATCACCATCCTTACCACCATCCTAACTACCATCACGAGCACAATCACAATCACCATCACCACCACCATCAGCACCACTAGCACCATGGCCACCAGTGTCACTTTCACCTGCGCCAGTCATCTCCTGCGCCAGTCATCACCTGCGCCAGTCATCACCTGCGCCGGTCCTCACCTGTGATGGGGTCGTCACCTGTGTTGGGGTCCCTGACATGCAGCGCATAGATAGTGGCGTTGCGTGGCAGCAAGGTCAGGGCGAAGAGAAACGCCTGTGAGGGGCAAAGCAAAACGTTTTGAGGGTCAGGGCAGGGCAAATTGAAGCGCCTGTGAGGGCAGAGTGAAACGCTTAAAGGGTAACGGCAGGGCAGGGCGACGAGAAACGCATGTAGGATACAAAGGAATCTCATTTGGCTAGAAAGGCCAATGAAATGGATGCGCCGGCGAATGGGACGGAGGGACGGATGGGGTACGAACCACAGCACCACTTGGAGGCTCCATTGACTTTTGAGTCGACTGAAAAGTCACCTACGAGTAACAGCACCACTTGGAGGCTCGATTGAAGCGGCCAGCCATTTCACCCTCCCCTTCTCCCGCTCCCACATTTCTCTCACTCCCGCCTTCCCCTTGCTCTCTCCTTTCTCTCACGCCCATCCTTCTCTCGCTCTCGCCTTTCTCCCACCATCTCTCGGCCTTGAGATCGGCTGAAGCCTGCTTACAGCTCTGCTGCTCCAGTGCTACGAGAATCCCAGCCATCCAGTGCTACGAGAATCCCAGCCATCCCCTTCCTCCCACTATCGAGCCTTTCTCACCGTCTCGGCGCCCTGCGATTCGTCCACCGCCACGAGGATCCTCGCAAGGCGTCGCATGGCACTCGTCGCACGTCGCAAAGCACTCGTCGCGCCGCCTGCATCCGCAAAGTCACGCCTTCGACGCAGAAGTTTTACTACTGGAATAAGCTATCTCGCCTGGAACGCGAGCCACTAAGTTAATGCAGGATATGCCTGCGACGGACGTTACTGTGCCTGCGATAGAAGTCACGAAGTCGTCGGAAGTCGCCTAGTAGCGTGCGACGTGTTTCTCGCCTGGGATGGAAGCCTCCAAGTCGTCGCAAGCTAGCCTTTCAATGCAGGCGCGGAAACGAGGCTCTATTACAGTCGACTCAACACTCCAATGCAGCCATGGCTAATGAGGATAGGAATCCAAGTCTCTGGTATCGTAGATGCTTTCCTGTTCCATTCGCTTTAGGGAATGGACACAAATCCAGCATTTAGGTGCGGGTTGCTTGACTCCACACCACGCAGTACCGTTTACTTTTCTTACGGAACCGCACAAGAACACACCTCAGCCTTTTAAACCAGACCTGATCACCAAGCCTGCTCGAGAAGATGCCCTGGCACTCTCTGAACCTATCCGCGTTTGAAAGCATGACGCAAATTGCAATTAGACCATATGTTTAAACAATTATGATTGTGACCCTCCATTTGCATAGATTACAGCCCCTCCAAGCAAATGAAATTCCTTACAACTTGCATGTTTACTTCCCATGACACTTCAAATACCATGGGTCCACTTCGTTATGTACAAATGGTATGTGCAAACCAAGTCAAGTTACAGCGAGCATGCGTGCACGCCCTTGGCCGTTAGAGGGCGAGCCATGCAACGGTCCTTCCACTCGAGCACACGAGGATATGACGACAAGTGCAACTGGTCATCCGCCTTATAGAACACCTGAAAGAGAGGAAGCGCAACAAATAATGAACAATGAAACGCAAATTAAGGCGAGCAACGGTCCTTCCACTCGAGCACACACAAGGATAGGAGGACAAGTGCAGCTGATAATCTGCCTCGTAAAATCTGCAGAAAACACAGTAACGAACAAAAGCCGCATGCCAAGATGAAAAACAAAGAACCTGGTCTTTGTTCACTCGAGCTCGAGGTGCAAACTCAGACACCACAGGTGTACAGCATCCAAAGACCAAACAATAATTTCTCGATCACCAGCTCCTACTGAAACTACATGTTTACCACTTGCTTAACATAATGGTCAAGCTCACCAACCGAGAATGACACGGTACTGAGCTCACCTGCAGCGAGTTGACCCAGGGGATGGTGGCCATATCAGCTATGGTGTAGCCAGCATCCACGAAAAAATCCCTAACCTCCAGCCGCTTTGCCAAAATCAACCAGGAGTATCAAGTCTATGGTAGCCAGCTCACCTGCAGCGAGTTGACCCAGGGGAAGGTGGCCATGTCAGCAATGGTGTAGCCAGCATCAATGAGGAACTCCCTCCCCTCCAGCCGCTTCTCCAGCACCCCCAGCAGGCGCCGCGTCTCCTCCGTGTAGCGCTGCAGGGGGTACGGGTGGTCGCACTGGTCACGCGCAAACTTGTAGAACATGCCAAACTGAGGGAGGGGAGGAGGGGAGCGGAGGAGGGGAGAAAGAAAGAAGGAGAATGGCGATCGGAAAGGGTGCTTGCAAGACTCCTCTGTGAGTTAAGCTTCAATGGGCATATATAGTCGCACTGCTCACAATACAAGTTGTACAATGCATGTACGAAGGAAGAAACTGGATTTAAAGAGAGAATGAGTGAGGGGGGGGGCGGGGAAGGGTGCTTTAAAACACCTGAAGTACCACAGCTCGTTTGGCTACTGCCACGTCTTCCTGGTGTACCGCACATCAACTGACCAGTTGGACCCATTTTCTGACCAGTTTGGCACATTTTCTTACCAGTTGGGCACATTTCCTGACCAGTAGGACAAGTCACACACATTTTCTCTCCAGTCTGACACGTTTCTTGACCAGTATGGCAATCACGGCTATTCCGAATTCTCACCTGGCCAAACATCGGCCCCACGCCCCCTACTTGGAAGAAGAGCCATGACACGGTTTCCCACCGCTGCACCGCATCCTGCGGAAGGAACTTGCCCGACTTCTCCGCCAGATACAGCAGAATGGCTCCGCTCTCAAAAACCCTCAGAGGGGTGCTGTCTGGAGGGAGGGCATACAGCGGCGATATGGGAAAACAATAAAAGTGAATCCAAGTAACAAGTTCTGAATCCTTCATTCAACAACTCAATTTCAAGTTATACAATTTAGCAGATAAAACCACACATGCGACTGCCTCACCTGGCCCGCCCTTGGGATCCACGATGGCGGGGATCTAGTTGCTGGGGTTGATTGCGATGGTTACCGAATTGAACTAGCCCCCCTGCAGCACCATACCCCTGAAAGGAAGTTAACCGTTTGCTCTGTATATTATTGCCTACCAGGCCCGCCCTTGGGTTCCACGATGGCAGGGATCTTGCTGTTGGGGTTAATAAATGGTTACCGATTTGAACTAGCCCCTGAAAGGAATTTTACTGTTTTCTCTGCACGACGTTGCCTCACCTGGCCCGCCCTTGGGAGATCCACGATGGCGGGGATTTTGTTGTTGGGGCTGATGGCGATGAACTCTGGCTTGAACTGCCCCGCCTTCATTATGCTCACCCCGAAAAAGCTCTCTTGCTGTTGAATCAGTGTGCAATCGCCTCACCTGGCCCTCCCGTGGGATCCACGATGGCGGGGATCTTGTTGTTGGGGCTGATGGCGATGAACTCTGGCTTGAACTGCTCGCCCGTCATGATGTTCACGGTGTGCGCATCGTACGGTATCTCCATCTCCTCTAGCGCGATGCTCACCTGGGAGAGAGCGATGAGAGAAAGAGAGAGAAAGAGAGAACGGAATGACTCAAGGCCTCTGAGTGGGTGTGTGCATCGTACGGTATCTCCATCTCCTCCGGGGCGATGCTCACCTGGAGAAAGAGAGGGAGAGACAGTTGTGGAAAAATTATACGCGGGGCGTCGTACGGGTTTAGCAGGTAATTCCGGCCTGAACTGGTCGCCCTTCATTTATGTTCACGGTATGCGCATCCCAGGGCAGCTCACCTGATGGGAATGAATTGAAGGCGGGAAACGAAGTGAAGACGAGAGAACCAAACGGACGAGAGTAACGAAATGGAGTGAGATGCATCAATGGAGAGTGATTGCGAGGCTTGGTGCCAATTTGACTCAGGAGGCGCCTCAGAATGGACAAGAGAGGAATGCGACGCATACGATGGGGTGGGGAGGAGAACACATGGAGAACACATGGAGAACACAAATACTCATCGTGAGCTTGGAATGGGTTGTCCGCCACAAATCCTAGAAGTGCTTCGAACGTGAATCTGGAGCCACATGAATTTCATGGTTCCATGAATTTCGGGAATTCCATGAGTTTCGTCGCGTCTTCATGAAATTAATGAGATCCATGGATCCATGCATCCATGCATCCATGGATTCCGTGAACTTTATGAAATAAATGAATGACATGTTGTGAATTCCTTTGCACGCACCTTCATGCCGTTGGGAGTCGCAAACGAGTAGAGCTGGATACGAGACGACGCGTCACCGTCGCCGTCGCGGCCATCAAGGCTGACCCGATCGTCAGCAGTACCGGCAACTTGCTGCCCTTGCGCCATGGAGGAAAGCACTCGACCGGCCGAAACTACTCCTCTCCTCTTTATTCCTGCTCCTCTGGCTGTACTTAATCCCCCTGTGTTCTTACCGGCGCGACCCCACACGCCCAGGTTATTTCGCGAGAACGGGATACACGACTTGGGGGATGGCGAAGCAGCAGCAACAGCAGCGACAGACGGGGTACCCGGATTCTGGACCAGTGACGTTCGGATCATGCTGGCAGCAACTGATTCTTCATTATTCGCAAGAGAGACGACGGTACGGACTCGCTGAACGATGGTACGGGTCTGCATATGCTGCTGCAAAGCAGCGAGCGGTTTGTGAGGCCGACTCGATCCACTCAGCGTCAGATTTCGAGAACAAAAATTTCGCGAAACGAAGCTCTTTGCTCCGGCCATGTCTGATTATGCAATTCTTGACTCGTTCCCTAAATCCGGTGTGACCAGTACTGCTACGTTCCTGCCTGCTCCTCCCTGCTAGATTCTCTCGCGCATTTGCTTCTCGTCGAGCTCTCCAGCGCAAGCTCGCAGCGCCTCGGACACCCGCATGGCTGCATAGCAAGGCGCAGCGCGATCGAGCTCCTACGCTACGTCCATTGTTGCCTCCCATGCTGTTTCAAAAGTGGGTTGCCTCGTTTCTGCATGGCGGACTTTCCAAGGTGGGAGGCTGGGAGAAGCCGAAAGTCGCGGAGACTCTCTGCCCGAGAGAAAGGCAGCATGTAATCTGGCAGGGATGTCACATCAAGGAACGTCACAATAAAGGGGGTGCTTTTGTAATGTCCAGGAACGTCACAATAAGGTACAGTGCAGTTGCCTCTGTTTCTAGAACGATTCGAAAGTAATACACTTCGGGTGTATTATGATAAAGAGAACGCGTGCGTCATTACACTATGAATTAAATTGATCCGTAAAAATCCATACGTGAAAATGTGAAGCAATAGGGGCTACAAAGTGAAATTCGACATCCGACGACATCCATCGAGCTCGACATTCCTCGACATCCGCAGCACCACTTTGGGTACTTTCGACCCTTAGCGACAAAAGTGCCCGAAAACTAGACGTCACTGTAGTGAGTGCCGGAGGTCAACAAACTGTTCGAAGACAAACTTAGCTAGGAAGGTAGGTGGCCATGAAATGGCGAGAGGTTTAGGAGCTAGGAGGGGAAGTTAAGAGAGAAAAGAGAGTTGGAATAGAAGATAGAGAGGCATACAAGGAGGGAGTTGTACCCTCTACAGTAGAGTTCAGTAACACCTATCAATCATACAATTATATAACAAATATAATTTAACACAAACCACATTATGCTGATTGTTCCTGGAGAGTTACAGCGTTGCAAACACAGGTGTTTTTATTTCGTCACTGCCTAGCGAGCTGCACGATTTAGGCGAGGCTGTTGCGATAGATTTTTACTTCGCTTGTTTTTGGCGTGTTGGTCGGATTTTGTCTGACTCGACCAGGTTCTATCCAAATCTGAACTTTCTGAACCCCTGCCCGTTCGCACTGCTGGTCAAGGTGCGACATCCCTCGACATTGGGGATGTCGAGGTTGGATGTCGGGGGCAGGGCTTACGTTAGGGTTTTTGCCTACACGTCAGATCCGGGTTCTGCTCCCTCGCGACCCGGACAGCACGGGTATCTGTTAAGAGTCACCCGTTAGAATCCGGGTATTTTAAAAACATACACGTCATATTCCGGGTATTGTTTTCGTAATGTCGAAATGCATGGTTTTATGTGAATAAACCTTGATTGACAGAAAACAAAACACACCGACCTCATCTACTTGCTATGACACCTACCTTTCAGCATGTGCTCAAAGTGTTGGTGTACATGGGCATCTTGCTACAGATTCGGAGACACCTGCTCAAGCTAAAAGACTTGGCGGAATTAGACACAGCTGAGAGCGAGCATGAACAAATTTCAATATGAGAATGTCTAAGGATGAGAACCAGCACTTGTACTTGACATAACTCATCTGGAGGCTTGTTCTTGAGCCGCGACAGCAACTCTCCCTCTCCCTCAGAGGGGTAGAGGTGGGGGGGTGGTGGATTTGAGGGGGGGGGGGGGGGGGGGGTTCACCAGCGCTAGAATTCGGGTTTTCGAAAATCGTACCTGTCAAATAAGTGTACTTGGAAAACCTTACACGTTACTTCACGGGTACAATCCAAAAGACACCCTTCAGAATCAGGGTTTATAAATTCTGAACACGTCAGATTCCGAGTGTGAGAAAAAAACCACCCGTTATTTTGCCAAAATCCGGGTAATTACCTGTCAAAAATAAGCCCTGGTCGGGGGTACTTTGGACGCGTATCCCTCTTCCAAATCCTCACCGGCCTCTTTCGACATCCCACTTTGGACACGCCTTTAGGGAGTGTCCAAAGTAAATTTCGACATCCGAGGACATCCGTTGGGGTCATGTCGAGGAAAAACCCATTGATCGGAAGGAATCGATGGTCGATGTCCCTCGACATCCCCCAACGGATGTCGTCGGATGTCGAAATTCAATTTGGACACCTTCTTCAGTTCAATATATAAGTACAAAGACATGTACATAATTGAAGAAATACCAGAAGTGTATGATGTGAAAGGTAAACGATGTCAGCCGACGTTCCAGCGCGGTACAATGAGTATTCGCACGATTGAGAGAGGTACTGTGCGCTCGGACGCGCTGACCCGACGTGAGACCGGGACGTTGTGAAGAAACGTGCGAAGTGTTGGCATGGAGTACAGCCATGTGGTGGCTCGGACGGATAAGGCTGCATTCTACTTTGTGGCACGAAACCGCACCACGTGGCATGGCCACCTTTGAAAGGGTCCTCCTTATTGTGACCTTTTCTGTTAGACATGCAGGGAAACCAGTGGTTGTGAACAGCGTATCCTTTTCTGCCATCTCCAGGGCTTCGGTGTCGTCCACCAGTGAGTTGAATTGAATGTCGAGTTGAGCAGTGGCCCAGCAGCAAGCTGTTCCATCCCATATCATCCCAACCATCAGGGATCGGGAGGTCAGCCAAACCAACCAATCCGAGCAGCTCAGAACAGCACATGGTGGTAATGAACCCATAAGGTACAGAACCGTACGAAACCCTGCACACATGGGTCTTTGCCAGCACATTTGCGGCAGGTTTCTGAGAAGCAGAAGTCTTTCCCGCTCGGGCAGGCAAGGAGAAATATTATTTACTGTATACAGCACAGTACACCATGATGAGGTACACACATGGTTGGCCCGCGTCGTACCGTATGGGCATCCAGCAGCCTCCAAGGCATGCGTTCAAGTCTCCACGCCAAGGGCTGGGAAGAACCCACGAGATGGGGCCAAAGAAGAGTGGCCGTTGATATCGTAATCGCACGACGTCAATAAGCGGTACCGTGCGTTTGGTCGTTCTTCGGAACGACTTAGAGGGATCCGCGATGGTGCAAGAACGATGCGACGCGAAGCGACGTCGCACAACGGCCCATCCATGTTGCAATAAACAATCCCATGTTGTGTGGGGTTGGTCGGTCGGTAACTATCGAGCTGTGCCTGCCTCCTCTCCTTTCTTCCAATCCCACACAACCATTCGCCCCGCTCATCCAGGCAAATTCAATCAGGGCGGCATAAGAGCTCGTTTCCCCTCAAAACCCTATATAACCGTTTGGATTCTTTGTATATTTGTCTTCAAAAGCAAAGCACCGTAGTAAACCACACTCAGGTGAACTCGTTATGACAGGCCCTCGGATCGGATTAGAGAAGCAAGCAGAAGCTACAGCGCGTCTGTATCCTGTTGTGTGCGGTCAGTTACACGATGGAACTGATCGAAGCGAGTGGTGGATGTTATCGACGGTCAGATCTTTGCTTTCCCCCAATTAGCAGCTCCGATGGAACCGATCGAAGTGAGTCTATCCACTCACGAAGCGTGTGCTGCACCCTTTCCACGTCAGGGGATGCCACACACCTGTGGTCACTTTTCGACTGAGCACAGCTAAGCTAAGCACTGTCTCCCTGCTCACTCGACCTTTTTGTTTGGGCGGAGGTGGGGGGTACAGTGAGTTTGAAAACGTTTTAGACAATAATCAATTCGACAACCACACGGCACAGTGCGGTGGAACTTCGTCCAAACATCGTTCGAGAGCTAAACCAGGAGCAATCCTATCAGTTTCCTCCTGGACAGCTCTAGCAGCTGTACGTGGTATACCCCCTTGTCTGCAGCAACCCTAGGGTTAGTTTCTCGTTGGTTGATTCCCAATTCCTGCTGCGTACGATATTCCACGAATCTGAGTAGCCTTTTCGAACTAGAAATAATTTGCACGTCGATTATTCGCAGTTCCTTCCGGCGTCCAGTTGTGTCAGCCATGGCGACGGAAGGCTGTAGGCGATAACCGCCACCCGAATTCCACGTCGCGTTTTGCAAATTAAAGCAATTAAATAAAGGCATCAGCTTCTCGTCCGACAAAAACTCCTGTTCTATCGTCAATGGAGACTATTTGCGATTTTTGCGAAAAAGGTCGAGCCACTGTCTATTGTAAGGCGGATTCCGCTAGGCTCTGCCTCTCGTGCGACCGCGTAGTTCACTCTGCGAATAATCTCTCCCTTCGCCACCATCGCACACTGCTCTGCGACGGTTGCAACGCCGAGCCAGCCTCCGTGCGATGCCGGGACGAAAACCTTTCTCTCTGCCCAGAGTGTGACACGGCGTCTCACAGCGCTAACCCGTCCGGGGCGAACCACAGCCGTCACGTGTTCGAATGTTTCACGGGCTGCCCGTCCGCAGCTGACCTGGCGAAGCTCTGGGGTTGCGACATGGCTCAACCGCCTCCTCTCCTCCATGTCCAAAAAGCCCAGCCGGCATCGTCCAACTCCACCGCCGGTGGCGCTTTAACTTCCGCTCATGGCGCTCTAGCCACGCCGGAACCTGACACCCCTAAGCCGGCGGAACGTCTGACGCCAAGGCCGGCGGAAATCCTGACGCCAGCGGAAATTCAGACGCCAGCAGCCGAAATATTGACTCTGAAGCCGGTCGTACTGTCGCCTAAATCTGCTGAAAATCCGGCGGCTAGAGATCCGTTAACGGCCGCCTCTAGCTGCGTGCTGCAGGCAGCAGCGACTCAGTCGTTACAAGTTCCGGGTAACCCCGGAATGGGTTCTAGTCCTGGAGTATCCCCTATTCAGAGGGTAACTTCTGTTCCTGGACTTCCGGATTTTCGCCAAGATAAGCTATCTTCTAATCATGGAGGAACGCCGAGTGGCGCCGGTTCGGGAAATTCGCCGCAGAGTCTGCAGCAGCGTTGGGGAGCCGCTTTAGCCGGCAATCGGGCGGCGCCGTTGTCGTCGGCCGTCAGCTTGCCGGCCGACAGGCGTGCAATGCCTCCAAGCCCGAATTTGGCCGTCAGTGGCGGCGACGCGCAGGTGAGAAGAGGGAGGGACGCTGTTCGCTGTTAAACCGGCGTGTCTGAGACTACCGTGTCTGAGCACGCCTTTCGTGTGAGTCTCTGATGGGTCCGAGTGATTGCGAATTGTGAGGTTGCGCGTTCGTCCGAGTTTCAAGTCGTCTCAAATCTCTCCATGGGTCCGTCCGTGCCGCCGTCCGTGCGATTCCAACGTGCTCGCTTACGCCGGAGTGTCGCTTCGCATGGACTGGATGGAGGTCAGGTTCGTCCCGACCTAGAAGGAGGTCGGGTTCGTCCCGACCTAGAAGAAGGTCGGGTTCGTCCCGACCTAGAAGGAGGTCGGGTTCGTCCCGACCTAGAAGGAGGTCGGGTTCGTCCCGACCTAGAAGGAGGTCAGGTTCGCCTGCACGTTTCGTTCCCCCGTGAGACGATTTCTGAGGTGCCTCGGAAATCGTTTCGCGTGATGGTCACGTTCGCTTGGAGGTGTGGGTTCTCGCAGCGTTTCTTTTTTTTGCCTGGAGGAACAAAATGCCCGCCGCGCTGCACATCGGCAGTGCGGCTAATTCACTCGTTGCCCATTCGATATAAGGTTGGATTTGAGACGTCTCAAAACCAACCTTATATCAAATGTCCGCTGCGCTGCATACCTGCAGTGCGGCTGATTCACTCGCTGCCCATCCAACCTCCCCTCCATCGCTCCTTCCCCACGCAACATCCGCTTTTGAGTCGACTCAAACGCAACATCCTAGTGTTCCCTCTCCGTCCCTCTCCCTCACCCCCTCCCTCTCTCTCCCCCGCGTTCGCCGTGCTTCAGGGACTGAAAGCCGCAGCCCATCGGAGCGGTCTCCTGCAAGCGCCTTCTCCCGTGCTTGCTGCGTCGCCCATGCTCGCTGCATTCCCCGTGCTCGCTGCGTCCCCCATGCCGGCTGCCTCGCCCATGCTCGTCGCGCCACCTGCGAAACCCTCGCCGCCGCAGTCAGCGCCCCCCTCGATTCTGTCACCCTTCAACGCCGCTTTCTCCATCCAGCCGCACTCGGCGGCGCTGAGGCAACTACCAGAGCACCGATTCGGCCAAGGCCCAGGTTCGGGGCCAGGTCCGGGCGCAGGTCCGGGCCCAAGTTCGAGCCCAGGTTCGGGCCCAGGTTCGGGCGGAGGTGCGTTGGGGGGTGTGAGGCCAGGTGGTGTGCGACCTGAGATATCCGCCAGCTCGCTGCAGACAATCTCGAGGATCATGGCGCTGTACCCGCTGGAGGGCTCGAAGCAGCAGCAGCAGCAGGCAGGGAGTGGGGTTGGTCAGCGGATGCAGAAGATGCAGCAGCTGCAGCGGCAGCAGATGCAGGACCTAGTTCAGCAGCACCTGCTGCAGCGGCAGAAGCAGCAGCTACAGCTACAGCAGCAGCAGCAGCAAGTGGTAAAGCAGAGAGAAGACGAGCAGCAGCAGCAGCAGCAGCAGCAGCAGCTTGTTTTTGCGGAGCAGCGATTGCACATGATGCAGCACGAGCAACATCGACGACGGTTGCAGCACCAAGAGCAACAATATCAACAGCAGCAGCAGCAGCAGCAGCAGCAGCAGATGTTGCTTCTGAAGAGGGCGAATGAAACAGCAAGCACCATGGAATGGCATGGCACCATGGCAGCGCAGAACATGCGAGTAAGCCCCCATAACGCCCTCCTCCTCAACGGCCTTCCACCCCAAGCCTCTACTGCGACTCTATCTGCTGCTCCTGCTCGCACCCCAGCTTCCGCTCCTGCTCCTCTTTCTGCCACTGCGCCTGCTGCTGGTCCTGCCGTTTCTGCTGCCAATTCTGCTGCTACTGCCCCTGCTGCCACTGCCCCTGCGGCCAATTCTGTAGCTAGTGGGTCTCTCGACAGGCAGTGGACCCGATCTTACTCTCTCCACACTGACGGCCAGTCCCCTGCCTTTCCAGGCAGCATTGAACGTGCCAGCGCCGGTGGCTCTGCTGCTGCTGCTGTTATCGCTGATCGCAACCTGGATTTTCACCTGAGCCAGCTGTCCAACAGGAGAATCGCGCAGGAGATTGCCGAGTCTAGGCGGAGTGGTGGCAGTGCAGGGGGCGGGGGGGTGAGCAGAGGGGGGATAAGTGCAGGGGGGATGGGCAGGGTTGGTATGGGGAAAGTGGTTGAGGGCTCCCCGATGGTTCTTGAGACGATCCAGAAAGGCAGCAGGAGGGGGGTGGAGAGGGGGGGGATGGAGAGAGGGGGGTTGGAGAGAGAGGGGATGGCCAGAGTAGGCATGAAGCGAGTCCTTGGAGCAGAGTCAGGATATTCCCCCATGGCAACCTCGAGCTTTGAGGCTGGAGGCAGGACTCGCAACAGTGGTGGTGGTGGCAGGAGTCGCAACACCGCTGGTGGTGGGCTGTGTAAAGAGACCGGGTATGAGGTCGGAACCCCCTTTCGAGCTCCTGCGCGGGGTGTAGATGCTGGGGAGTTTCCAGGAAAGCGGCATGCGGCGTATGCTGGCCAGGAGTCCCGGGGGGAGCCAGCAGCCCGCCCCGTCGCAGCTGTTGCTGGGCAGACGGTGCAGATGGGTATTGCGGGGCGGGCAGGTGGTCCAGGGCAGATAGCAAGTGCGGGGCAGACAAGAAATGTGGGGCAGGCGGGTGGTGTGGGGCAAATGGGAAGTGCAGGGCTGGCAGGAGGTGTGGGGATGGCAGGAGGTGCGGGGATGGCAGGGGAGATGGCACAGACAGGAGAGTGCGGGGCCATGGGGGCAGGTGCGGAGGCTGCTGGTTGCCAACGGCAGGAGCAGGAGCGGAAGCAAGAGCTGCTGCAGGAGCTCAGGCGCGAGATGCACGTGCAGCAGTTAAGTCCGCAGCAGGTTCAGCAATTGCATGTGCAGCAGTTTAGTCTGCAGCAAGTTCAAAAACTGCACATGCGTGGAAACGCCCTTGGGAGCTCCGGAGTGGCAGGGAGTCAGGGCCCTTGTGGTGCCAGTGGTAAGGAAGCAAGGGACTCTGCTGCAGCCGTAGGAAGGCAGGCATTGGACGATGCAGCAGCGGTCTCAGCTGCTCACACCTCAGCAGCAGCGGCAGCACCGGTTGAATCAGCAACAGCAGAGGGGGCGGTGTTGACAGTGGCAGAAGCAGTGGAAGCGGTGGGATCAGGTGTGTCAGATGTAGCAGCAGCAGCAGCAGCGGCAGCAGGTGCAGGAGGTGGAGTGCTGGCAGCAGGCGATGATCAGCCTGACACCTCCGCCCATGCACTTGCCATAGCTGATGCACATGGTCAAGATACTATGGCAACTTTGATGGATGCAGACATGGGCATGGGCATGGGCATGGGCATGGGGATGGGGATGGGGATGGGCATGGGCATGGGGTTCCATATGGAGGACATGGATTTCGCGATGCCACTCCCTGGCTGTGATGACATGTTTGCGGGGCTCCCCGATTCCGACTTTGTAGGAGTATTCGGTGCTGGTTCCGATTCGGGGGTTTATGCTGCTGGTGCTGGGGCTTTCACTGCTGCCGGTGCCTTTGCTGGTCCCACCGGTTGCGGCAGTGCAGCCGCTGATGTCTAAATGCACGCTCGCGCGCTCGTTCCCCATTCCTAGCACATCCCCATCCTTACCCACCTCCTCCCCCTCTCTCTCCTCCCCTCGCACCCACCCCCCCCCCTCCCCCCCCTCTCCCCCTCCCCCCCCTCTCCCCCTCCCCCCCCTCTCTCTCAGCCCTGGTGCACTCTTCTCCTTCGTCTCTATTTTTCCTCCGCTACATGCTGTTTCGGGTGCCACATAGTTGTCTTGCCCGTTTTTGTACGGTATGTAATGCCCTCGTTCTGTTTCTTCTCACACCGGCTGGATGTCCCTTGTAAGCATTGTAACGTAGGTATAACACACGATTCCTTTCTGGTGCAGGTGATCCGTTAGTGGGATCAGCCACATGGTTACCGAAGGGTTTCTCATGTTTGCAAAGGCTGTGGCGTTAGGATGAAGGGTGGCATGTGTGTTCTGGTTTGCTACGACGTTTATACACCATGTTTTTCATGGTGTTTATCCCCTTTCCATGTGTAATGTGTGTGTTACATGAGGGCATGATGGTGTACGAGCCTCTACACAATTATTTATGAACTGTACCACCATTATTGTGGTTGGTTGAACTTGAACAAATGGCAGCAGCACTTGTTGTCCTTGCCCAGCGAGAATCGTGTCGGCGAATAGTCGCAGGGTCGCACGCACCCCGCTGCTGACTCGTTCCTAGCCAGTCACTTGCTCATGAGTTGCCGGGCCAGGTGTGGGAAAGGTTTGTTGAGTGGGCATTGATTGAGCAGGGCAGTTTCGACATTTCCCAACGAGGGCTGATTTGCCGACGCTCGCCGACACTGGGTCGTTTGGTTTTCATGTGCTCTGACGAAGGCCGTTCACGTCAAATCCACCTAGTCTACCCATTCTTTCCTCAGTGCGAGGGTGTCTCCAGGCCCAAATTGGATAGGCGCGAATCGTTTCAAGGCGTTCTGTACCACGTAGATCGTACCGAACACGTACCCTTTCCGTCACGCCATGTCCCCAGACTGTACCATCAACGTTTTCCCGAACACCTACACCACACGAAACCCACTCCACTCTCTTTTCAACCTAGCTAAAACACGGCGAACCGCGCTACACCCTCTCTAAATCCCGCTTTCGGCTTCACCAAGGCTTCTGGTCCCTCTTCTGCCTCGGGCTTGCCGAACAGGCCAGAATTCCATGGCAAATCCCTCTCTCCCAACTACCATACTCTCCCTGCTCCCCATGGCAACCCCAGGGCTGGTGAACTGAACTGGGCCTTGGATTGGCGGTAGTCGAGTAGTAGTTACCTGCTCCTGACACCGCACCACGCTCTCATCTATCAGGATAAAGAGCAGCGTAGCCTCACGTGAATTCACATCATTCGTGAGTTTCTATCTTATCTACTTCGCGTTTAGCCAATTTGTCGGGAATTTGTTTTCCTTCTTTCCTCATACAGTTGTCCGACATTTCAGGGATTGGATTATTAGATCAGCCGACATGGAATTCAAAGTGCCGCTGTTGGACCCGAACCAGACCAGCCTGGACGAAGAGCAAGAGCAGCAAGAGCAGCAAGAACTTCAGTTCCGTCAACTGCGAACGTCAGCATCCGATTCAGATTCATCACGAGCAGCAGTCGCAGCAGCGGCTGCTTACAGTCGACCTGGCGACTCCTCCTACCCGTCGTCCTCCTCCGCCTCCGCCGCATTTGGCGGCGACTGGCGCGGAAAGCTCGCGGCTGTCGGGCAGCGCGTGCGCACGTCGAGCGCGGAGCTGGGGAAGCGCGTCACGGAGGCGGCGACAGCTGTCGGAAGCCGATTGGAGGAGCAGGTTTCCGTCGTCGGCGAGCGCGTCAAGGACCTGGTCCTGCCGACTACTCAGGCGGACTTATTAGTCGACCGCGCCACGGCGGAGGAGCTCCTCGCTCCCCATTGGTCCACCGTTCTGCAGATCTCGCACCTCCTTCAAAACGGCTCGCTCCCCGGCGGCGACGTCGCACGGGCCCTGCGACGTCGCCTGGCGACGCGCGACTCGCACGTGCAGCTGCTGGCGCTCGCGGTCGCGGAGACGGTGGTCGGAAGCGCGCCACAGGTTCTGGGGGATATTGCGCGGGAAGGCATGCTCGGAGACATGGCGCGAATGGCGGTGGAGCCTAAGACGCCGGCGCGCGTCAGGGAGACGGTTCTAAGACTGATTGAGGCGTGGGCGGTGCCAATGGAGGCGACGCGATACTTCCCGGCGTTCGAAGAGACGTTTCGGGTAAGTGGAGTGTAGAGGGAGGGAGGGTTGAGGGGAAGGATTGTGGGAGGGGAAGAAGGCGAGGGGAGAGGAAGGGGAGTGCGGGACGTGGGGGGGGGAGGGGTGGGGTGGGGTGGGGGGGGGGTTGGAAAATATGCGATACTTTCACCCTTTCGACGAAGAAGCTTTTAGGGTAAGCAATTGGGGGGAAATAGGGAGAACGGAAGCCTGGGGGAGAAAGAAGCCTTTTCTGTTTGGGCGAATGTCTGTTTTGCTTTGGTCTCCTCCGACCATGGCTGGCTAGTCTGCGGTTCATCATGGTGTGTGTGTGTGTGTGTGTGTGTGTGTGTGTGTGTGTGTGTGTGTGTGTGTGTGTGTGTGTGTGTGTGTGTGTGTGCGTGTGTGTGTGTGTGTGTGTGTGTGTGTGAGGGCATATAAAAGGGCCGCTCAGCACTGCCACACACGCGCACGTGCGCACGCCCTCCCCTCCTCCCCCCCCCCCCAACACACAATGAGCGGCCTCGAAATTCATATACACTTAAACTGACATTGAAACCACGGTTTCTTTGTTTCGTTTGGCAATTTCTGATTTTTGCAGCAATGTGACGCTCTCGCATCCTTGATGTGCTGCTGATATGAGGAGGAGGTTTGAGGGAACGAGCGCAGAGGAGGGACGAGGAGAGATGAACCCAAACGGAAAAAAATAGTTTTACTGGTTTGGGGAGATGGCAGCAGCAAAGACGCGCACGGGCACGAGCGGATAGCAGGGTGGAAAGAAAAGGAAACAAGGCTCATGGATGAGTAGAATGCGCGTGGAGGGGCGGAAGGAAGGAAGAAGGATTCGTGGATCGACCGGAGTGCAGATGGAAGGAAAGAAAACGCCTGATCCAGCTGTGACATGGTGACGTCCATGTTGCCTTTTGAGTCGACTCAAAAGTCACCTTCAGCTGTGACATGGTGACGTCCATGTTGCCTTTTGAGTCCACTCAAAAGCCACCTTCAGCTGTGACATGGTGACGTCCATGTTGCTGAGCTGAGTGTATTATATCAGCCAAACAGGTGTAGATCAAGATCCGCAACCGCAAGTTGCTTGTTGCAACAAAGTGATAGAACGGTGGGGAACTTATGGAGTCAATTCAAGGGTAGGAGCAAAGCATGGCACTCTGACTTTTGAGTCGACCCAAAGGACACTCGGTGTGTATAGGGAGAAAGCACCGTCCTTAATTAGCATGACAGGCCGTAAGGCGTTTCGGGATCCTCAAGATCCGTTTAGCGCGGAGTTGCCAGAAGTAGCCATGAGTTCAAATCACGGGAATTGTGAAGTGACCATGCTTGCAGCGGTATCCTTATCACGACTTCACTCCTTATCCCTTGTGTATAATTCTTTGATTCTGAAAGTACATTCATTTGTAGCACTTCAACAGTGTTGTACTGCTAATTTAGCAAGCTCTTTCAAGCTCTAAGTGCACTCCATGTCACCCCACTGTCTAGTTTTGAGGCGCCTCAAAACGTGTCTCCCCACTGTCCCTGCTACAGTGCTACTACACTGCCTGTGTCACACCCTTACATTTTTATCTACCAGCCAAGCAGCTCTTTTGTGGGGACTGAGTCACTGAGTCTTTGGAGAACAGTTGCACTTCGGCATTAAACTGATTTTGCTGGCCAGTGGCTTGACTCTTGCCTTTTCTCGGCTCACTTGATCCTCCCATCCTCCGCCAGCCACCCCCCTTTTCCCTCCTGTCATTCCCCCCTCCACCCGTTCACCACTCCTAAACAGCAACTCAAGGATAAGGGAGTGACTTTCCCTGTGCTCACTGCACCCCCTCAGTGCATCCCCTTTCTCTCCCCCCCCTTCCCTCCTTTTCCAACCCCCCCCACTTCACCACTGCCTACCAGCAACTGGAGGATAAGGGAGTGACTTTCCCTGTGCTCACTGCATGCCCTCAGCGCATCCCCAATCTTCCCTCCTCACACACGCCCAACCCCCCTCCCCCTTCCTCCTTCTCACCACTTCCCAACAGCAACTGAAGGATTAGGGAGTGACTTTTCCTGTGGTCACTGCACTGCACCTCCTCAGCGCATCCCCGTTCTTCCCCTCTCACAACCCCAACCCCAAACCCCCTCTCCTTCCCCGCTCTTTCCTCTTTCACCACTCGGAAAACAGCAAGTCAAGGAGAAAGCAGTGGCGTTCCCTATGCTCACTGCACGCCCTCAGCGCATCACTCGTCTTCGTTCCCCCCCATTCCCACCCATCCCCCTCACCACCCCCTAACAGCAACTGGAAGGGAGTGACTTTCCCTGTGCTCACTGCACGCCCTCCGCGCATCCCCATTCTTCCCTCCTCACAACCCCCCATCCCTCCCTCCCCCCCCTTCCCCCTCCTTTTCACCACCCCCTAACAGCAATTGAAGGATAAGGGAGTGACTTTCCCTGTGGTCACTGCACGCCCTCAGCGCATTCCCCAGCTCCTCCCCTTCCAATCCGTTACTGGAGAAGCTTATAGAGGAGCAGGCCGCATCTACCTTACCAGACCTCCCCCGGACCAGCGCCCGGAGGTCGTTGCCATGCCTGCGGACTTCCTCGCCGGACCTAACGCCCAGGGTCGGCGGACCACGCCGCATGTTAGATTCATCATGCCCGGCGGTAGGGATGCTGGTGGTGCTGGTGATGGCCAGGGTAATCATGGGCACCACCGGCATGCACATGGTCAAATCCACCGCGGCGGTCACCACCACCAGCGGCAGCGTGAGGGGGAGGAGGCGGCGGCAGAGGCATGGATGGGGGCGCTGGATGGAGACGGAGATCCCAAGGAGGTGTTTACCATGGCTCGAAACACTGCTGACCTGCTCACCACCATGCTGACGTCAGCACCTGCGAAAGAGGCAATCAAGGTAAGACACGTCGCAGCCCACACATCAAGTGGTTGCATCATGCGGTTGCATCATGTGGTTGCATCATGTGGTTGCATCATTTGGTTGCGCCACTGTGCATCATCCTCACAACTGTGCTGATGTCAGCACCTGCTGAAGAGGCTATTAGGGTGAGACACGTGGCAGTGATGGGAGAGTGGGCGGGGCGGGGGGGACTGGGAGGCAGTGGGCGGGGAAAGGAAAGGAGGTCGTGGGGAAGAGGTGGAGGGAGGGTGATTTTTTAGTCGACTGAAAGATTGCCTAAGGTGAGACACGTGGCATGCGGCTATTAGGCCATAAGGGTGGGGAGAGATATAAGACTGGAAGGGAGTGGGCAGGGAGAGGAGGAGGGGGGTTGTTTGTGGGTAGGGGAGCGTGGAGGGGAGGGGGGAGTGGGGGAAGAGTGTGGGTAGGCGCCTCAAATGGGGGTCGATTGCTCCTTCTGAAAGGAATGAGTTTGGGGAATAGGTGTTAGGGGAGTGGCAACAGCAACAGCTGTGGGGCAGAGGTCGTTGCAGCAAGCAGCGTTTCCGGCTCGAATCAACAGCCCACCAAACGCAGCTGTGTTTTCTGCGTCGACATTCTCTCGGCCCAAATTGCGAAGAGAACAGCGTCAGGTGATTTTTTCGAGGTCTTAAAGCTCACCTTCAACATCGACCCGGTGTTGAGACGCTGCTTCAGCGAGGAGAAATTTTAGTATCGACTCAAAGTCACTCTCTTTCCGTTCCTCTCGTTGTTACTTCTTTCTCCCTTCATAAGATTCCCTACTCCTCCTGTTATCCCCCCTAAGTGAAGCTGATTACTCCTGTTATCCCCCCCCTTAGTGAAGCTGATTACTCCTGTTATCCCCCCCCTTAGTGAAGCTGATTACTCCTGTTATCCCCCCCCTTAGTGAAGCTGATTCACCCCTGATGAAGCCTCCGTGCCGCTGGCAGGCAACCCAGTCACCCAGTGCACAGCAACGAAGCAGCGAAGGACGTCCTCTTTCTGCGGAGGCTTTTGAGAATTCTAAAAAATCTCTCACAGCGAAGCAGAGGACGTCCTCCTTCTGCCCTTCTCTCGTCCCTTCCCTCTCCCCGTCCCTCTGCCCTCCATTCGGCCCAGATGAAGCTGCAGTATCGCTGGCAGGCAACCCAGTCACCAGTGCAACCCAGTCACCAGTGCAACCCAGTCACCAGTGCAACCCAGTCACCAGTGCAACCCATTCACCAGTGCAACCCAGTCACCAGAGCAACCCAGTCACCAGTGCAACCCAGTCACCAGTGCAACCCAGTCACCAGTGCAACCCAGTCACCAGTGCAACCCAGTCACCAGTGCAACCCATTCACCAGTGCAACCCAGTCACCAGAGCAACCCAGTCACCAGAGCAACCCAGTCACCAGTGCAACCCAGTCACCAGTGCAACCCATTCACCAGTGCAACCCAGTCACCAGTGCAACCCAGTCACCAGTGCAACCCATTCACCAGTGCAACCCAGTCACCAGTGCAACCCAGTCACCAGTGCAACCCAGTCACCAGTGCAACCCAGTCACCAGAGCAACCCAGTCACCAGTGCAACCCAGTCACCAGTGCAACCCAGTCACCAGTGCAACCCAGTCACCAGAGCAGAGCAGCGAAGCAGCGCCTGCAGAGGCTGCTGCAGCAGGAAGCAGAGCTGGAAGACAACTCCCTCCTTCTGCCGCTCCCTCTTCCCTCCCCCCCCCCTTCCCTCTGTCCTCCCTCTATCCCTCCCAGGACGAGGCTGTGGTATCTCTGGCAGCCCAATGCCGGGCGGGCAAGAGGCGCCTGCAGAGAATTCGTCAGCAGGAAACAGTGCTGGCAGACGATCCCATCCTTCTGCCCCTCCCTCTTCCCTCTCCCCTCCCCTTCCCTTTCTCCTCCCTCTGTCTGTCCCAGGACAAGCCTGTGGTATCTCTGGCAGCACAGTGCCGGGCTGGCAAGCGGCGCCTGCAGGGGCTGCTGCAGCAGGAAGCGGTGCTGGCAGACGACCCATTTGGTGACCTCGCTGCCTCTGATGACCCAGACGCCGCTTTTCACGCTGCTCTCTCTTTCCCTCACCTCCCTCCTTGCCTCTCCCCCTCTTCCTCTCCCCCCCCCGCCTCCCCCCAGGATGAGGCTGTGGTATCTCTTGCAGCGCAGTGCAGGGCGGGCAAGCGGCGCCTGCAGAGGTTACTGCAGCAAGAAGTGGTGCTGGCAGACGACTGCCTCCTTCTGCCTTTCCCTCTTCCCTTCCCTCTATCCCTTCCAGGATGAGGCTGTGGTGTCCCTGGCAGCACAGTGCAGAGCGGGCAAGCGGCGCCTGCAGAGGCTGCTGCAGCAAGAAGCCGTGCTGGCAGACGACTCCCTCCTGTTCGACGGTCTCTCTGCTGTTGATGACGTGGATGCTGCCCTTGCCAGGCTGGCCGCCATGCGGGATGAGGTGAAGGGGGCGCGGGGGAAGAAGCCACACAGGAAGGGAAGGGGGAGGGGGGGAAGTGGGGGGGAGGAGGGGAATGCTGGGGAAAGTGGGGAAGGGTTGGGGGTGGGAGGTGGGGAGGGAACCGGGAGTGGAGTGGAAGGGAGAGAGACGATAGAGGAGGGTGAGGAGGAAGGGTACGAAAGCGAGGAGGAGGAGGATGAGGAGGGGGAGGTGCTGGAGATGGGGAGAGGTCTTTGCTCCATAGAAGGGGATGAGGAGGGTAGGGATAAGGAGGAAAGCCAAGTGCATGGGGGGGAAGTGAAGGATGAGGAGAGTGCATCAGCAAGAGAGGGTGGTGTGGTGGGCGGTCAGGTTGGGATTGAAACAGCAGCATTGGAAGGGGAGGCCAAGGAGGAGACGGGTGCAAGTAACCTTGCTCATGCAGCTGCTGCTGCTGGTGCCGGTGGAGGGACAGAGGAGACAGAAGGGAACAGGGCAAACGAAGTGTTTTGAACTACTGGTAATGTCCTTGATTCTGTTTTTTGGGTTGCAGAGCAACCAATTGTGATCGATCGGACAAGGTTTTTTTTTTTTTTTTTTTTTTTTTTTTTTTTTTTTTTTTTAACGTGATAAAATATATTCTAAGTGGGGGAAAACTACAAATTCATTTAAACCGACAAATTGTATGCATAGATTGATTGTTGCCTGACTATCTAGAATGGTTGTTGGAAAGATGTAAATTGTAGTGTAATATAGAAACCAACTAAACTTAAAGCGAGAAGCTATAATAATGACCCCCACTTCGAGTTGGACCCAACTCGAAATGGTTCGGATCAAGAGTGTATTGGTTGGAACCTTGGGAGGCGTGTTTTTTTTTTCCCCTACAATTCTTACATGGCCGATCCTTGGCGAAAAGATTACCAACTGACATTTTGCCTGATTGTCGCATGACACAATCACTCGCTACGCTGCGACAAAACTAGCTGCGGATCTAAATTTTGGAAGCCAAGGCACACCCTTCCTCGTCAGATGTCACTTCCAAGCCCTGCAAAGCGAAACATTTCACCGAAGACTGAGTGCAAGATATCAGAGAAAGAGAGAGTGAGCGAGCGAATGCAAAAATCGAGGGCATGTGATCATACATGAGTGGGGACAGATACGCGCGAGAGGTGTGGAGAGAGGGAGATATGGCGGGAGCGAGGGGCGAGCGAGTGTGGCGCAGCGGGAAGGGAGTGGCATGGCGAGACGCTCGCTCCTCCTCCTCTCTCTCTCTCTCTCTCTCCCGCTGCGCCACTCTCTCCCTATTCTCACCTCCGCCTCTCTCCTTCTAACCGCGCCACTCTCTTCCACGCCGCGTCACTCCCCCACTCTCTCACCGCACCTCTACCGCTAACGATGCCTCTCTCTCTCTCTCTCTCTCTCTCTCTCTCTCTCTCTCTCTCTCTCTCTCTCTCTCTCTCTCTCTCTCTCTCTCTCTCTCTCTCTCACCGCGTCTCTCACCCTTTCTCCCCGCGTCTCTCCCTCTCTCGCCCGCGTTTCTCCCTATCTCGCCCGCGTCTCTCTCTCTATCGCTGCGTCTCACCCTTTCTCCCCGCGTCTCTCCATCTCTGGCCTCGTCTCTCCCGCTGACGCCACGTCTCCCTCTCTCTCCCTCTCTCGCCCGTGTTTCTCCGTATCTCGCCCGCGTCTCTCTCTCTCTCGCCCGCGTTTCTCCCTATCTCGCCCGCGTCTCTCTCTCTCTATAGCTGCTTCTCACCCTTTCTCCCCGCGTCTCTCCATCTCTGGCCTCGTCTCTCCCGCTGACGCCACGTCTCCCTCTCTCTCCCTCTCTCGCCCGTGTTTCTCCGTATCTCGCCCGCGTTTCTCCGTATCTCGCCCGCGTTTCTCCCTCTCTCGCCCACGACTCTCCCTCTCTCGCCGCGTTTCTCCCTCTCTCCCCGAGTCTCTCTCTCTATCGCCGCGTCTCACCCTTTCTCCCCGCGTCTCTCCCTCTCTCGCCACGTCTCTCCATCTCTGGCCTCATCTCTCCCGCTCACGCCGCGTCTCCCTTTCTCTCCCTCTCTTGCCCGCGTTTCTCCGTATTTCGCCCGCGTTTCTCCGTATCTCGCCCACGTCTCTCCTTCTCTCGCCGCGTTTCTCCCTCTCTCCCCGCTTCCTCGTCTCTTCCGCTCATGCCGCGTCTCCCTCTCTCTCCCTCTCACGCCCGCGTTTCTCCCTCTCCCCGCGTCTCTCTCTCTCTCTATCGCCGCGTCTCACCCTTTCTCGCCGCGTCTCTCCCTCTCTCCCCGCGTCTCTCCCTCTCTATCTCTCCCGCAGCGCCACACTCTCTCTCACAGCTCTATCGGCACCAAGTTTCTATGCGGTGGGGCAGCTAGCGGAACTAGCTTGCTTTCTCGGCGATTTTTTGCTAGCTGGATGTCGCTTTGCGTGGGGAAGGTGGTGAATCCTCGGCAATTGTGAACACAGGCCCAACTTGAAAAATGAGTTGGGCCCATCTCGATCCGAGAGCCCCAACTCGTTGCTTGCACTCGCCGTGCAAGTGTCGCATCGAGAAGTGCGACCCCTGACAAGGATTCGTTTTCAGATTTGCGTGTCGCGCATTTCGCCCTGCGATCAACATTTTGGCGGGACCCAATCAGCTTTGAGCTGAAATTCCGATCTGCCTACCCCTGCCATTTTGGAACAGTTATTTGTTGAAGCTGGTTTCCAACTTGAGTCGCTCAGAGGGAGCCCTCTTTCAAGTTGGGCCAGCCTTCACAATTATAACTTCTCGCTTTAAGATCAAGAAACAAGGGTAGAAAACAAACAGGTGTTAATGTTTTCCGTAATTTCTCGTGGCGTATTTTTGTCGATGAAAAAAATAGGCGATCGTTTCCCCAACTGAGTGGGGAAAGTCAAAAGCCTAGATTTGTCTCAATATTTGAAGGGGGGACTTTCAAGCTTAGTGTTAGAATAACGCAATGAACTAGATTGTGCCATACAGGGAGGTTTCTATCAAAGTGAGAAGTGAATGATTGAGTAGAGAGAGAGTACAGGTGAATATACCTAAGTGTTGTACCCTCTAAGAGGTGACCCTATACAGTCTATGCAAACATAGGAGCTACACATGTTTGACACACCCCCTAGACTGCATAGGGGCAGGTCCTGAACAAGCAGCTTAGGGCGGCACTACTAGTCCAGCCTCTGAGACAAGGGTCTAAAAGACCAGTCAGAAGGATTAAAGACAAGGCAAGAACAAGACCAGGGCGGCACTACTAGTCCAGCCACTGGGAGAGGACACAAGTCCAGTCTGAGTACACATATAAAGGACAGTACAAAGTCAAGGCCCTAGCAAGTGAGAGGCTACAGGAACTAGACCAAGCTGTATACAGTGCCGCTGATGATCTTTACGCGCAAGCGCCTTCGTAAAGATATCAGCTGTTTTGGCACCTGAGGCCAAGTGTACTACGCGAGCCTGGCGTCGCTGCTGTAGCTCACGCAGGAGGAAGTACCGCAGCTGAATATGCTTCTCTCTGCCCTTGAGTCGAGGCTCCTGACACAGGAGGATCATGGCCCTGTTGTCAGCGAACAGGACCGGGGCAGAGCTAGGCCTCTCACCTAAGTCAGTGAGCAAGAAGGTCAGCCAGCGGAGCTCCTGTGCCGCCATGGCACCAGCGTAGATCTCGGCCTCACAACTGGACTGGGCAATAGATGAGGAGCGGGTAGCTCTCCACGAGACGGCACCTGAACCAAGGCTGAAGCAGTAGCCCTGGGTAGACCTGAGTGTCTCGGCGTCGTCTGCCCAAGAAGCGTCTGTGTGTCCAGTAAGGACCACTGGCCCACGTCCTCCTAGCACTAACCCCATGCCTGATGTACTAGCAAGATAACGCAAAACCCTCTTAGCGGCAGACTAGTGCTACGGTCGGTGTCTGCCTGTGGCCACAAAGCGAGCCAGGATGCTGAGAGGGTATGCGAGATCTGGGCGAGTGCAAGTCATCAGGTACATCAGGCAACCCACCAGCTCTGCGTAGGGGCCGCTGGGCTCTACCGACTCCTCAGAAACTGGAGCAGAGAGTCTGTAGTCTACAGGCAGAGGGGTGGGCTGTGCAGAGGAGAACTGAAGGCCGAACCTCTGAAGGACCTGGCGCACCAAGTGTGACTGAGTGAGGGTGATGGTGCGCGCTGCTCTGTCCCTGGAGATCTGCAAGCCAAGGTAACGGCGCAGTTCTCCAAGGTCAGTGCACGTGTGTCTCTTCAGTAGCTCTGCCATCACGGAGGCCAGTGCGTCCCTGTCTGCTGTGGCAAAGACCAGGTCGTTGACGTAAACAAGGATGTAGAACGGAGTTTGGCCAGCACGAACGAAGAGTGAGGGGTCTGCGAAAGACGGAAAGAACTGCAGGTCAGCAAGGGTAGCACGCAGCGTGTCGTGCCACTCACGGGGAGCCTGGCGCAGGCCGTAGAGGGGGCGCCGCAGAAGCCACTGGGTCCCAGGAGGGAAGGTGCCAGTAAAGCCCTGAGGGCGACGCAAGTAGACCTGCTCGTGTAGGCTGCCCTGAAGGAAGGCAGTGGAGAAGTCGAGGGAGTGAAGCTCGTAGTCACGCTGAGCAGCTAGGTGTAACAGAACCCGAAGAGTAGTCATCTTCGGGGTCGGAGCGAAAGTCTGGAAGAAGTCCACCCCCTCACGCTGACTGAAGCCTCTAGCCATGTAGCGCGCCTTGAACACAGGCGGCTCTCCAGGAGGGCGCATCACCTTGAAGAGCCAGCGGCCATCGACTACGTTCACCCCAGGCGGGGTAACTGCGTCGACGAAGGTGCCGGTGGATCTCCAAGTTGCCATCTCTTGCTCCATGGCAGCTATCCACTGCGAGGCCCAAGGTCCCGAGGTCGCCTCAGCGTAAGTGCGAGGGGTCGGGATGTCGAAAGCGTCTGGGTCACCCTCAGGGACTAGCAGCATGGAACAGAGATGGGGAGCAGCCTTGGACAGGAAAGCAAGCGGACTCGTACAGCTATGACCCACGGGATAAGAACGTTAGGCACGTCGGCCTTCCGCTCCAAGGGAAACACCGTGGTGTAGCGAGTGTAGTCGTCAACAAGCACTAGAAAGTAGCGCTCGCAACGCGGCCTAGGGACGGGGGATGGGCCCCAGACGTCCAGGTGCAGGGTATGGAGTGGCGCAGTGGTAGGGAGAAGCGAGGAGGAGTGAGGAGCACGGCGCAACCGGCCCTCGACACAAGGCGTGCACGGCAGCGCAGGCGATGGAGGAAGGGTAGGGAGCGACGCAGGGAGACCGAAGACAAGACCGTGATGGGACATGTGACGCAGACGCGGGAGTGCGGGGTGACCTAGGCAGTGGTGCCACAGCAGCGACGGGTGAGTGAGCGACCAACACGAGCAAGCTGCAGCGACCTGGGTCGACACAGGCACCTGAGAGGGACGCCATCATCGGGGGGGATGCAGTGTGCAGCGTAAACATGCCAGATATAGTGTCCCGGGGGAACGTGGTCAGAGGAGCACTAGTGGCGGCCTCAGTATCGACCACGTACCGCTCGTGTCCGGGGAATGTAATGGTGACCCTGAGGTCCTGAAGATAGCCGACACGAACTGGGTTCCTAGAGAATGAGGGGATGTGCAGGTCTGTAAGAGAACCCAAGCGGACCGCCGGACAGGGAAGGGTGGTGGAGCTACGGGCAACTACCGGACCTGACGAGGGGTCAGCAAGCACGACAGGGCAGGGGCGGCAAGAGGCGTGAGCGCAGTGTGGTCACGGAAGAAGCAGACAGACACTCTAGA